GGAAAAGGAACTCATTTTCCAGCTTCTGTTACCCATAAATATCTGATGCTCTGATCTGGACAGAAGGAGAGGACAGCGATGACCATTAAGTCTCACAGTACCTTTTTTTTTTTCAGATTCTGACGGACCCCTAGTGCAATTTAGAACAAGTTTAGAAGCTGTGTTGTAGCTCAGATTTTTCCTTCTAGTTTTCCATAAGTTTGGGAACTACAGAGCTGTGCCATTTGAAATTAATGTCTTTTTGCTCTGTCTCTGAGCCTGATAAACATCTCCTAGGGTGAGGTCTAGAATTGGGCTCATTTTACTAGTGCTCCAAAACAGATGCTTCCCAGCATTTTATAGATAGAATTTTTCTTCAAACTGCAATCTGGCTATGTAAGGGCAAGTTACATAAAGGGAAAACTGGATGCGAGAAAGATATTCTGCTTTCCAGGCTTCAGTGAAAACTGATCAGTATGAGATGAAGACAGGAAAAAGAACCAGCCAAACTATTGCAGCTACAGTGCTTGCAGCCCCGATGAGAGATGGTCATGAAGTGTGCAGGTTTAGCTGCACACAAGTTATAGAAAACCTTGCTCGTGTGCTGCAAATAATGTTTGTAAAATCCTTATCAGCTGGTGTGTATGATGCAAAGCATTGTATAGGCATTTTGTACTTCAGATATCTTGGTAATAGCTACTTGCAACATTTCTCTTTTGTTTATACAGGACACAACTGGGAGCTGATACTACACTGCTCAGTGATACAGTATACTGCTGAAGCCATCATCAAAATTTCAGCCTAAAATTTTGTGATAAAAGGATAAGTGCAAACAGAACTATCCTACAAGCCTTAAAGGTAAGACTATAGGCTCCCTCCCTCCAGTATATAAATATGTCTGTGTGCACATACACATACTTCAGCTATCAGCTTGCGACATTTAACTATCGTGGTGTCCACTGTAATATAAGTATGTTTAGCTAGGTATTACTTACATATGGCCAGGTTTTCATAAGGGCTCAAATACTGTTTCATTACTTAATGAAATTGATAGGATTTAACTAGCAACTGTGGTGACACTTTGAACTGACCTGTTCTGAAAATTTATCCCCACTTGGGAATGCTTTGACATGGATTAAAATAGAACAGTTATTTGTACTTGATCTCACCATATCCCAGTGGGTCAGTGGAACAGTTACCCCCTCAATATGTAGCAAGTCCTAGTTTTCTTTAAAAAAAAAGAGGGTTTTTTATCAAGATAAGAGTAATTACATTCCTCCAGTTCTGGTATGACAAGAATTTGAGGTAGAATGGTTTGTAGTCCAGAGTCCTTATGGCATTGTAACAAATACAGGTTCTGTCTGAGTCTATCCAGAGTAATACGCTTTTATGTTGAGAATGAACTGGCCAAACCAGGCCTTCTTAGGTCCACTGTAGTTTAATAAAACCAAACTCCAGCTTTAGCAGTATTTTTGTATGCAGCATATACGTCAAAGCACAAATGTGCTGAGCACCTGCAACCTACTCCCAGTTCCCATTAAAATCAACAGATCAAATCTTTGAGGTCTCATTCAGCCCTTGCCCAGGCAAAACCCTCAAACACTGAGTCATGACCCAACTTCATAGGCATCGCATTAATCAGAACCTGTCTGGATTTGGCTAGTGTCAGTTGCTTCCCTTGTTTTAGGAGACAGTTCCTTAAACTTCTATACATCTGGGTAATGTTACTACACATCTTGGTAACTAACAAAAGTTGAGAATACTGTGTTTCACAGGAACCGCTCACCATTCAAAAAGATTCATGGTTTTACAGAATAGCATATATGACCTGTAAAGCTGCATGAGAGCCTTTAAAGACACTGCTTTACTAGCTGGTCTGGACCACAGACATTAAGGGAGTTCTGGTAAATGTCACTATTCCTGCTAAATCTTTGAACTGTTAATTGGACATTGTTAACAAGGATGCTGTATGCAGCATGCAATCAGTGAGGGCTGATAAACCTAATAATAAGATAGTGAACCTACCAGTTTAATTTTAATCACTGACATAGGCCATGGATCGTTTCTTCGGTCTCTAGTTGGTAGAATGACTGCAGTTTGCAAGAACCTTGCCTTCTGCTGCCTCTTGGACTTGCCCTTCAGTGTTGTGTACAACACTGCAGTGAGATTTTGAACCTGCAGAGGTCAAGTGTGTTAGGATTCCAGTAATGTTACATATATTCTGAATCAGTAAATTAAAAAGCATAGTAGTTTGTTGAGTCCTTTTAATACAGGATATTCTATTTGAAATCTGTCGGTTTTGATTATGTAACTTTAAGGGGAACAAATTATAAACCCTTGAAAATTACAAGTGCATTAATTTAAGTTCAGCGAGATTTTTTGCAGAACTAAGGGCTATTAGTTTTATTAAGGGTAATAAAGACCTATAGACCGCATTCTAGTCTGTTACTTAAGTCATTACAGAAATATCACAGTTTTTTGTGACACAGTACAAGGCTAGTTTGAAAAGTGCAGTGTGCAGTCTGGCTTAATTTTTGATAGATATTAATGCAAGGGTATGTAATTGTCATGCGAGTATTCTATGGGAAAAATGTGAACTCTTCATTCTGTTGGAGATTGAATTCTACTCGCATTCTATGGTCATTGTTTGCCCGGTATCAAAATAATTCACAATAAAAACTATGCATTTTGTCAGTGATTCTGAAATTATCCAGCACTTTGCTATCAATTTTAATTGATTTTAATTGATCAACTGATGAAAACAAAAGAAAATCTGGCCTAACCCAGATGGCTGAATGCATTTCTGAAAGCATTTTTACTTATCATTAGTTATGATATTTTGAGTAAATTTGACTGAAGTTATAAAGCAGTCACTTGTAAGAATTACTTCCTATCTCCATAAAGATATGGAAATATGTTATTCTATTTGCCACTTAATTGTGATTACAATTTTAATTAATTGTTCTTAGTATCAGCTATTCAGGAAGATTTCCAGCAACTAATAATTTCAAAGGTTAGCATTATTGATAATAGATTCAAAACCAGCCCATATATCTAGGTTCATCTCACAGGTGTCATAGCTAATCCCAGTTATTTCAACAAAGCTATACTTTTTGCTTCTGATTTGTTCTGTAAGATGTAAACTAACTCAAAATTTCCCTTCCATATGGTAAGTGGGTGTAGTAGAGCTGCATATTCTAGGAATCATCTTCATATGTGAAGGTATTTTGATGAGTCATCTTGATGTAAACTGCTTGAACTCTGCTTGGGAGTTCAGTGTCATTGCTGCTGAGTCATTCTGGCATTTGCACCTTATATGTTCCTTCTGGAATATAAAGGGCTGGGGAGCATGGATAAGTTCAATTGAGGTACTGGAGAAAAAGGCTGAGAAACTGTTAGGAATATCTGGGCTTTTAAAGAGAAATTATGAGTTGCACTTGGTTATTTCTGGAGCTAAATCCAAAAGCCTATTTAGGGAATATTTGGACAATATACAGTAAGGCTATAATTTGTTCAACACAAAGTGGAAATTCTGTCTGCTCATGCTACTCTTAAGACTTAAACACTCAAATTAAAGGCTTTCTCAAGGGAAAACATCTGAAGGAGGAGTCTTGTAGAAAGTCTTTGATATGTTTCAGATGGACTCCTTTGTTTTCTCTGCAAATGATACTTTCTAAGTAAAGAAAATGTATTTTCAGAGAGTCAGATTTAGGTTAATGTTCTGAAAGTCTAATTTTGCTCAAATAGCAAAAATGACAGCAGAATGCTACCAAGGTCCCTAGTAGCCGGGTTGGGTAAAGGGAGAAAAGGTAAGCAGAGTCTCATTATTCCACTAACATCATCTGGAATCGTACATGGAGTTGTACTTTTAAATAAACTGTTTCATATAAAAACTACTTAACTGCTTCCAAGTATGATAATTCTAGAATCATGGATTAGCAAAATCTGAATATTTAAGGAAATCACGTAGTAGAAGAAGAATTGTTCACTAGCAAGGCTCTTTACCTCCACGATTTTTGTATCTCTTGAAGAACTAATAAATTTGTGAAGAATAAATTCTCCTTAAAGAACTATGCTGAGTCTACCCTAACGTGTCGTGTTTATCCAAGAACCTACCAATTCTGTTCTTTACTATCATTTCTACCAACTTGCATAGGACAGACATCAGATTTACAGGTTCATCTTGGAGCTTTTTGGAAAGTTGGCCTCAAATTTGCCACCTTCCATTCCTTGAGAACAGATCCTATTGTAAATTACAGATTATATAACATGGTTAGTATATCCTTTAGGAGCACTCTTGTCACAAAATATTTTATGGATTTGTTCTAATACCTTTTGTACTGACATTCCACTTCACAACAGATCGTCCATTTAATTCCCTTTTTAATATAAGATACTTTATAAACTCCTTCGTGGTGATCAAAGTCATGAAGCGTTTGTTTAGCTTTCTACTACAGCCTTATTTTCTTCTGGTGCACACTGATCATTTGATGGCCTTACAGATTTTCCAGCAAGATTTCTTGCTTTCAATGTGTTTGAAAAAGGATTTAATTCATAGTGTTCCTGCCTTAGTAAAATGTTCCTCAGAACTAGTTTTGATTTGCCTTACTTCCTTTTTAAATCTTACCAGCCAACCTTGGGTTTTTTTCTCCATTTGGAAACAACTTTATTTTTTTTGGAGGATGTCTGTGTACATCTAATTCTCTACATTGGCCTGCCTTTAGACCTGAATACATTTTGGCCACTGTTGTGAACCACTGAGTGTTTGTTTCACAGTAGTATTTTGAACAAGGTCTTGCATACTGCTTGGTGTTAAGGAAGAAATTTTCTTCTTGTTTTCCCCAATGAGCTGATCCCAACAAGAAGTTATTACTCTAAAATGATATCCAAAATTTTGTGTCATCTTCAAAAGTAGCTGAGAGTAGTCAATAAATGAGAGTTCAAATTTTTTTTTCCTCAAATCCCTGTTTTAATGTGTTTGAAAGATATAAAGAACTTTGCACAATCTGCCAGCAACAGGGCTTGTGCTAAACATGTTACTCTTCCAGGTTTCACAGATGCATATGAGTAAATGAAGAGGTAATGCTTTTACAGATACTTATCTAATTTCTGTGGTTCTGTCCAAGTCGTTCACAGTCTCTGTGATAACACAAACATCATTCCTTTGGACTATGAGGATTTACAGTGGACATTTCCTACAAATCTGATTCACAGAAAATGAACATGACACTACCTTTTATACACATTGCCATCAACGATGAAAATAAACATTAAATAGGCAATGGATATATCAAATGGGAGTGATTTTTTTTTTAATTTTATACTGATATATCTCAGAATGGAGTAGATGTTTATATGATGAAGGTAAAAGATTAGAATTGGAGTTTTTGGTTCTACAGTTGTCTCCGTGACCTTGAATAAATCATACATCATTTCAGTGCCTTGCTTTTTTATTTGGAAACTGATAATTGCTCTTCTTTATATGGGAGAGGTTTTATGAAGTACTTTTATTAATTTGAGGCAAATAGATAATATGGTGATGTAGTGACGCTTGAGACATCAAGGGGGAGGATGTTTGTACTTTTGTATTAAGCAACCTTCATGGAGCAGCTGTTAATTCAGCAGGATATGCTGCTTCATAGCAATACAACTCCTACACAGCAATGGCAAATTCGTATACAGCTGACACCGCTGGATGATCCAGTACACCACAGGGCACTGCCTCAGGTGCCCTGACCCAAACTCGGGCCTCTCCCAGCAGCCCCATCACAGATGCACCTTTCCATTCCCACACTGTTTATCACTTTGTGTAGGATTTCTTCCATCAATTCCACGTCATCTTTAGCAATTAATCGCAGACTTCAGTCTCCTCAGATCTTTTCCTGTTATTCACTGCCTGATGAAGATTTAAACAGCCAACCTTACGACTCAGCTCATCTCAAGAAAACAGAGCAGGTTTCCTTCTCGGCTCCTTTCCCAGGGCAGGTGCGAGCCTGGCCGCATCCCACCCCTGCCAGCACTTCGTCCTTGTTTACATTCACCAATGAACATACAAATCACTTAAATACCATTAACCACTTGCAGCAAAGCACGTGAGACTTCTTAAACGTTTTCACAACCCCGGAAGACGTTGAAGTACCCAAGCTCACAGGGTTTTAGTCATAAAGGTATTATTTCATACAGCTTGAAGGCACTGCAGGGGAGCCGCCTGATGTCCTCGTACTTCTCCCCAGCCCAGCTCAGGGCTCCTTCGCAAAAAGCAGGAAGAGGATCACCGCGTTAAGAGCGACCGAGTGCCACAACCGAGCCGACGACGACCCTGCGGCGCTCCAGCATGTCCTGCGCCTCAGCTACCGCCAGGCCTTCGCGATGGCTCCGGAGCAGGAGGAAGGCCCGCCGTCCCCTCCAGCGGCGTAACGGCTTAGCCTACGACCCCCAGCTGATGGAAAAGGTTGAACCGCAGCGCGGCCGCCCACTCCCGCCACCCCGCCCGCCGGGGCTAGCTGCAGCCGGCGGAAGGGTTTTGGCGGGGGACGCGTGTGACGCCACTTCCGGCGTCCTCCCGCCGCTCGCGCCGCGTTTCGTCTCCCCATGGCCGCCGCTGTGGTGAGTTCCGCGGCCGGGCCGGGGCCGGGGGGAATCTGCGGGCCCGGGGCCGCCTGCGAGGGAACAGCGGCCCCGCCGAGAAGGGACGCGCGGGTTCTCCGCCCCGGCTGCTGCGTTTCGGGGGTCGGGTCTGAAACCCCGCGGGGGCGGCGGCGCTGGGTGCGCGGCTCCCGCCGGCGGATCCCTCGGCGGCTCCCGGGGCAGCGCGGCTTTCCGTCCCTCGGCGGCTTCCATCCACCCGGCCTTTCGCCTTCGCTTCCAGCCGCCGCAGCACCCTGGAACGGAGGGCTGAGGCCTGACAGTGGGATGTGTGATGGACCCTCCGTGTTTTGCAGAGGCCGTGTAGATTGGCTGACTTCTGGGAGTCGTCGCCAGAGTCTTCAGGGGTTTTGTTGGTTGGGTGGTTGGTTGTTTTTTTTTAAGTATGGCTTTCCTGTTAAATATGAGGAAGAAAGATTCTCGAGTGAGGGGGATAAGACATTGGAACGGGAGCCTGAAAAAACTGTGAAATCCTCATCCTCAGAGATATTCAAAACATGACAACAGATAGCACCTTGAGCACTCAGATCTAACTTTGAAGTTAGGTCAGGCTTTGAAGTTGATTCTTTTTTGAGCAGGGGTTTGGACCAGGTGACTTCCAAAAGTTTCTTCCAACTTAAATTGTTCTTAGAATTTAAAAATGTATTCTGGGCTATGCTTATAAAGAACTTGTCTGGAGTATCAAAACTAACAAAGCTTATTTTCCGTTTGACTTGTAATGCAGGTACTCTGACAGCTCATTCCATCTGGTGTTTCATGCTCTCCCTCACACTCGTTCTGTCTGGCAGCTAAATGGCAATGTGTTCAGCTGCTGGCTAGAAAGTGTGTGTGTGTGTGTGTGTGTGTGTGCAAGTGTGTGCTGACTGAGAGGTAGCAGCCATCTACCCCGAATAACGTGTAGGGCTGGGTTATAGTCACTGTTCCCTTAGTGGGGGGGTCTAATACTCTTTGTCTCCTGGTGCCAAAGAGTTTCTCTTGGCACTTGCTGGAATAGTGTCTTTAAGATTACTTTGTCATATCTGTTTGGAATTGGCCTGTGGGTTCAGAAATTGTTGGAGAAGATAGGAAGGTGAAGAGCAGGCTCTCATCCTTACGGAGGGAGATCAAAGGAATAGTCTGTAAAAACATGAGAGTATTTGGTTTTGTGGAATAAGCAGGGTTATTAAAGACTGCCAAGAAATATAAGTAAATTGTAGAATACTGATTGAGTTGCAAATACTAAGAATATAATGCTGAAATAGCGTGATGATAAATGATAATATTTTAAACAAAATGTCATAATGGAACCAAATGGAGTTTTATAGATGTATGGACAGGGAATTCAGAATCATGGCTTTCCAGGATGACACAGTTCAGGGTCTGTAAGAGATCAAGGGCCAAACAGCTAAACAAACTGAATAAATAACTGGATGAGATCACAGTGCAGTGATGTGACAACAAAGGCTGTTACCTTTGGGTGAATGAAAATAGTGAGATGTGAGGACAAGTGTTTGGTTTCTACCTGTGGATATAGCACTGGAGGGATTGATTCTGGAATGCATCCAGCATGTGTGCATGTTCTCCCTCTCATTTTTATGTCTATATATCCAATTATATATATTATCACATTTTATGTAGGTACATATAAAGTGTTTTTAAATGAGACTGTGGTGGCATTGTGATGGGATTCTTGCTAATTTTCAGAAATACAGTGAATAAACCTTGTTCCTTAACTTTTATTTCAGAACAGCCATCACAGCAACAAATATTTTCACTGAATACTTGCATATTCACACCACTTGCAGACAGCTGTAGTCCATTTTTTAATGTAAATATTTACAGTTTAAATACAATAAATATTGATATTCAAAATTAATCGTAAAACTGTTACCTAGCTAAAAGCTGGTACCTCCTGCAAGTAGAAAAGGAGTTTGGAATCAATTTCAACATTATTTGACATCCTCTTTCAGGGAGGTTTGAAAAAAACAACGAAAGTGACTTGCTGGAGAAATTGCTTAGATGACTAGGTTGCATAAAATTGCCTAACTGTAAGTAACTTGTTACGATTTCTTCTCTCCAGGATTTCAAAACCTATGTGGATCAAGCTTGTAGAGCTGCAGATGAATTTGTCAACATTTATTATGAGACAATGGATAAAAGAAGAAGGGTATGTAGATATTTTGACAACAGTTAGAACTAGCTTGTGCGTTTTTTGCTTGTTTTTCTAACCAGCATTACACGTGAAAGCACCTGAAGTTGGTTACCATGTATTGTTTTGGCCAGCTTGAGACCTCTGTCCCTCTTAGGCTGCCTTGTAGAGGATTTTATGTTACTGTGCAGCACTGTTGTAAAAGGGGCCTTTTTAGAAAGTGCCTTGGACTTCTTCGTGAAAGTAGTTAGGTTCATGTCCAGCTGTGTTTTACAGGTACAGGATTTGATCAGTAGGGGCAGATAAAACTTGCTTTGTCTCTGAGGTCAGGTTTTAGCTTACTTTTTTCTAAACTTCTTGTATTACCAGTTATCACTTCTGTTTCTGGGAGTCTTCAGGAGTGCCTGAGGATAAAGTGGAAACAGCTCTATCTGGCTCTGAAAGTCTTCATGGACCACACTGATGTTTGTACCAAAAGAGCTGTGGAGACTGTTCTTTGGAATTTTAAATGTATTATAATTTTAATTTAATAACTTTTAGATTATGTGAAAATATCAGCAGTTGCACGTTATTTCATAGTCACCTTGATTATAAGTAGAGTAGGCAGAGATGTATCAACAGCCTAAAGGAGAGTTAGGCAGTTACTCAACTGTTACATCTTACGAAACATTTGGGAAGTTCTGCTGCAGATGACTGTAGTTTTTAAGTTTCCACTGTTCCTGGTTTTGTTCATTTTTTCTTTTCCTACCTGAAATTACACTTTCCTGACATAATCTGTGTTGTGCACACTCCCTTACTCCCAAATAAATCAGTGACAAATTGTTCTGGAAAGGTAGCACTATCCTTTTAGCAACTAGTTCAGTTCTACCTCTAGCTTTGTTAAAGGAATCTCATCAGCATTTGAATTTGGAGGTGTGTGAGTCACTATGCAATTTATAAGGCAGAATATGTTTTAGTTAGTTTTAATTCTTGGTCAGGACCACTAATTGTTAAATGGACCTAATACTTCAGGAGGGCATTTTATCCATCAAAGCAAAAGAAGAAATCGGTAATACACAACATAAGGATTCAAAGAATATAATTTTGTATGTTGTCCATTGTATGTCTTTGCACATTTTCCTCAAATATGTATTTTCATAATCACTCAGGCCTTAACAAGACTTTATTTGGACAAAGCAACGTTAGTTTGGAATGGTAATGCAGTGTCTGGGCAAGAAGAACTGAATAAATTTTTTGAAATGTTGCCGTCTAGTGAATTCCAGGTTAATATGTTGGACTGCCAACCCGTTCACGGTAAGGCTGTATTACAATTTACTTATTTTTCATGCTTTTTAGAACTGTTGAAGGTGTACTGCAATTGTAATAGTGCTTAACGTTTTTTTGGAACAAATTTAGAGAAAATGCTGAGGGTTGGAATGTCAAGTTGTGCATAAAGTACAAATCATGAGATGCAGCAACTCCCCACTTTTTCTCATGTCTGGGAAAATATTTTGAAGACTATTTGTTAAGATCATATTCAGATGTGATGTATTTTCATGTATGGAAAGAGTCTGGCTTTTCAGATTATGTTGTCCTTGTCAATGTCTGAGTCAAGAGGCCTCTGCTGTAGCCTGTGATACTGACCTGCGCTATAATGAGGAACAACTCATTAACCCCTATGTACTTTGATTTCTTTACATCTAGAATAGATGTTAAGTTCTTTAGATTTCCGATTAACTGCTAAAGAAAGGCTTACATAATTGAGAGGTTAGTAAATTATTTCTAATGGATATTTTGGGAATATAAATAAGGAAAAAGCCTGTGGTCAAGCACACTTACTTTGCTGTGAAAAAGATACAGTCTCTAATAGCAAGGAAAAAAGTGTATGCAACTTGGTAAATATAAATAAATATATATATATATATATATATATATATATATATATATATATAGTAGAATCACAGAGTGGTTTGGGTTGGAAAAGACCTTAAAGATCATCCAGTCCCACACCCTGCCATGGGCAGGGCCCCCTTCCCCCAGCCCAGGGTGCTCCCAGCCCCGTCCAACCTGGCCTTGAACCCTTCCAGGGAGGGGGCAGCCACAGCTGCTCTGGGCACCCTGGGCCAGCGCCTCGCCACCCGCACAGGGAATAATTTCTTCCTTATATCTAATCTAAATGTGCCCTCTTTCAGTTTAAAACCGTTGCCACTTGTCCTATCCCTACACCCTCGATAGAGTCCCTCCCCAGCTTTCCTGTCCCCCCTTTAAGCCCTGGGAGGCCGCTCGAAGGTCTCCCTGGAGCCTTCTCTTCTCCAGGCTGAACCCCCCCAACTCTCTCAGCCTGGCCTCTTAAGGACACACATATACATATATATATATATATGTATATATATATATACACACAGACGTGTGTATGTATATATATATACACACACATATACATATATATATTTGTTTCAAATAATGAGAGCTTGTTCTAAGCAAAAACTTGGATGTTTGTTACAGTGCTTTAAAATAAGAAACATGAGAATAGAAAAGCCATTAAAAAACAGTGTTGGCGAGCGAATACACCATTGTCTGCATAGAAATGATGCAGCAAAACTGTACTTCTCATGAATGTGTAACCAGTTGTTGCCTATAACTGGTATGACCAGAATTCAATGAAACTTCTGTGTACGTTTCCTACTTCTTTACCTGTTAGTCTTTGAGTTCTTTTCTTTACACTGTTTCTCCTTATGAAGAGCAAGCTACTCAAGGCCAGACGACAGTCCTCGTGGTGACAAGTGGGACAGTAAAATTTGATGGCGACAAGCAGCGCTACTTCAATCAGAACTTCTTGCTGACAGCACAAGCCACACCTACCAACACAGTGTGGAAGATCGCCAGTGACTGTTTCCGCTTTCAGGACTGGGCCAGTTAGTGAGGATTGGCTACGGGAAGTGACCTCTCTCAGGTGATGTTGGCGTTAGCTGTATGGACAGCCGTTCTCCACGCGTGGGAAACGCTCGCTCTTCGCGCTGCATCTGTCGTTATGGAAGGTCTGCAGATGTTTCAGGGTTGATCCCAGTGATCATGGGTTTAACAGTAAACAGTCTTAAAATGTGAGAGGTTGCTCGTCTTAGTTGAACCTAATAAAATGCTAAAGGCAGTGAGCTGTGTTGGAATCATTCCTAAAATGCCTTACATGCAGCTATGCTGCCACTTCCAGACTTCTATGTAATGCTGAATGCTGAAACTCAGCAGTTCAAACTGATTTTGAACACAAGATCTTCTTAATGTACAATTCTGACCAAATATGTAATTTTTTCAACTTGAAAAGTTTTGTTTTCACAGTAGCATCTATCCTCTTTTGAAGGAGATGCTTGTGGCATGTAGATAGAATTCTGAAAGCTACCTACTCTTGGTTTTAAGAGGCTAGGAAGGATTGACAGTGATTTCTACTGTGTGAAAGTAGCAAATATAGCGCCTGAGCGTGTAATCTCTCAAATGATGCGTTGCAAAGCTAACATTACCTTCTCTGATATGAAAGGACTAAATAATCTCATCAGGTTTCCTTTTAGTTTTAGCTTCTCGGACTTTAGTTGTAGTTAATTTCCATTGATTAGGACATAGGGCATGCTGAGCGATTCAGAGCTTCTATGCCAAAACTCGTCACGTGCATGTGAAGGACTTCAAACTGATTATTTTTCTTTTGAAGTCGTACAGCGTAAGAAATAGGTCAGTTACATCATTTCTGTTTGCTTTAACTGTTAATTCTTTTGCTATGAAGTTTGGACTATTTTTCCCATACTCAGTCTGCAAGTTTTTAATCCATACGGTCTTTTCAAAAAACAATGTTGTAAAAAAGTGACGCTGAAAGTGTGTATTACTGTGAAGCCGTCTGTTTTTATCTTCAGTACTGTTACTCAGAACAGGTGCTTTGATTATTTTCAGCTTAACAGCTCTGAACACAAAATACCATCTTCCTCATGCAGATTTTTACTGTAGTTTTCATGTTCTTTTTAAATATTACCTTTAACTACTGATTATGGGGGTTTTTGTGTCTTGCTTTAAGTTTGCTTTTAGCAAATTTAACAGCTTTCAGCTGCTTTAAAATAGTTTTTAAGACTGTCCATCTTAACTTGGGAATTTAGGAGTAAATCAGTATCAGCAGATTTGTTTCAAACTGGTATGTTTCTATTTTAAGCTGAGTTACAAAAAAAAAATCAAATTTAGTTATATACATGAGAGTATACTTGCTTGTAACTGAAAATAATGCAGAGAACTTGTAATTGATCTTAACACATGATGCAATGAGGGCAGCAACCTGAATACAAAAGCAGTTACGACTGCAGCTCACTTGGCTTTATTACTTCAGTTGGGGATAACTGAAAATGAGCAATATCTAACTTGCGTAAAACATGTTAAAACATCTGTTATTTGTGATATAGTCCCACAAATAATGGATTGTGTAGGTGAAATGGGTGGTTTTATTTCCTTTTAAGGCACTCTAGACTTTACATCAGTAAATTAGAATTAGTAATCTTTCTCTATTCAGAAGCTGTTTATGTTCTGTACTATTTTGTAACTATTTTTCAGCCTGAAGAATATGAAATCCTGCAAAACAATGCAAGAAGTCCAGAATTTTTGAAAATGTAAATACTGTAAACACATTATTTCTGTATGTAGCGAAGAAAGGATCCCTATTTAATTACTATTTGTTCTTAACAGAATATGCGACGTTCATATATTTGTATTTCTTCTACAAGTTTGAAAAGAAAACCCTAAATTTGCTCGTTGCTGATACAGTATTGTTGAAATGTGACACTGGCATGGTGTGCTTTTCTGTTTTTTAAATTTGCTGGTGATTATATAAGTAGTGTTACAGATCTGCTTTGTATGCACAAAAAAGGTTTTGACTTTTGAAATTCAGTGATGAGTGCAAGTGTAGCATTTGCTTCTTGAACTTTGAAAGCAGTCACCAGAACATGCACTTACATCTGTACCTGATAAGCTTGTCCTGGGAATAAATATTTATTGGTTATTTTTATTCAAGTTTTAATTTGTATAGTAGTTTTTAAGCTTATTCTAGGTAGATTGGGAGTTTTAAACTATATGAGGCAATGTCTCAGTCAAATGCTATTCTCAATTATTTTCATGCTGTTCAAATGTAGGCTGCTTTTAAATCTGACTTCTGCAATTAATATTAAAAAACAAACAAACAAAGAACAAAACAACTACAACAAACAAAACCAACCAAACAAACAAACAAAAAAAAAACAACAAAAAAAAAAAAGCTGCCACTACCTGGAACATTATTTAGGAAGCTTACTAACTGACCTAGCTGGGCAAAACCCAGTTAAATTACTTAGCAAGATGTGTAATTGGAATTGGACTTGGTATGCATTCAGGGGGTTTTGGAGAGAAATTTATTAGAATATAATTGCTTCAGCCTAGGGAGAAGTGCCAGTTATGCGCTGCCCATTTCCATCATCCTCGATGAGGATTGCTTAGGGTGAGTCAGTACTACCATGATTAGCTGTTGCTCTTTATAACTGAAAATGCTGGTTTACAAAATATTTTTATGGAGCACGCTAAGTGATAATGTAGCTGTTAAATTAAACCAGTGATTTTATAGCTGAGTAATTAATGGCACAAACAAAAAATCTCTTCCAAACTAGTTGGAGGATTTAGGGATGCTGCAGCTCTGTGCTGCTTGTTAAGACTTCTGTGCTGAAATTAGCAGAAGAGAACATACGAATGCTTTTTATTCTGTTCAGTACAAAACCATCTGGCTGGTTTAGTGTTCCCCATTGGTGACTCTTGTAATATCCAAAATTTACAAAAGGCATCTCTAAAGTGAACGTGGTTTTGCTCTAAACTGTAAATAGGAGCTAATACTCCCATTTTTTGCTGTTTGATATCAAGTTCCTCATATACAGCCAGTCAGTGAAACAAAGCCAGCTGAAGAGATGAGCACTTCCACAAACCAAATTGTAGTTAATGAAGACTTGATAGATCTTCTCTTTTTGTGTGTATTCCCTGTGTTGTCTTTATCAGTCACTGGTTTTATATTGCTTTGTTCTTTGGCATGCTACAGTTAAATTGACTTAAAATACTTGTGCTGTTTCTTGGAATCAAAAAGTGATTTGTTCTGATGGTATGAATGATTTGTTCTCATGGGTTTGATATGCATACGCTTCCTTATCCAGATTGGAGAAAAGCACATTATAAAGAAATGCTGTTTTATCAGTAAAGTAACTTTCCACACTTGAATATATTTTGTAAATTTTTTTAATTGTTTAAGGCCTCTTATAAGATTAATTTTTTTAAAAACAAAACAAAAAACTACCTGATGTTTGATTTACCTTTTTTTTATTATTAGAAGCTTTCATAGTTTGTTCTTACGATATTAAAAGTGCAAGAAATAATTTGTGGCTTCCTTATCTTTACTGCTCGTGTTCTAGGTACAAGTTACATGTTCTTACTGTTGCAGCGTGCTGCCAGAGGGGCACTGCAGAACAGGCTGGCTGTCATTGCTGCAGTGAAAAAAAAATGGTCTGGCATAATAACCCTATAGCAAGTTCCTTGACAGACAGGAGCACTGTCAAGCAGTAAACAGTGTTGAACTGGCTAGAGTAACAAACTCAAATTGGCATTTCCCTCTAAAATTTACTGAAATTTAGACTGCTGTCCAACACATACCTGGATGAAGTCAGACAAAATTTGTGCCAGTTCCCTTGGATTGTAAATATTTTCATGGAGAACATACTGTTGTGCCTCTGCTGTTTCTCTGCTAAGAAGAAATGAAACATTCGAGTAAGGAACGGTTCACGTGATAACTGGTGATTTATTCACTTTATTTTGCTGTTTAAAACATCAATTACTGATGAACACTCAGTGTAGATAGCAGCTTTTAGTTGCTGGCAATGAAAAGATGAGGATGCTAATGCAAGGTCAATGTTTGGGTGGAAACGGGCATCATTCTAGAAACATGTTGTAGAAATAATGCCAAATTTATTGTGAAGTTCTCACTGTGTTTGAAGGTGTAGGTTTCAGTGAGGCTTTGTAAGCAGTCACTTTTTGTAATTATTCTGAGCAAGGCTCTGATAACTGATGCAGTGTAAAGGTTTAGGATTGCAAGGAAAAATCAATCACAGTTAGGGCCAAAACAAGATATTTTTGCATGTATGTTGAAAGTAAATCCAGAAATTGTTCTTCCAATATTCACCCTGGGCTGAAGAATAGTTGAATCTTTCTAAACCAGCTTTTCTTTTCTGATCCTGACTGAAAAAAAGTAGGCCATTGATAGCTGAGCTTATTTCTGCAGAAAGCTGGTTTAATATAAATAAATCTATCTTACTATCTTTTGTGTCCAGTGGTTGAATGGACTACAGAGACTAAATGGCCAGTTTGCCCTGCATCAGTAATACAGGTGCCTTAGAATATACTGTTGATGGAAAAAAGCGTGTGGAATTTCAGTGGCAAATTTTTATTGTCTTACGATCTGATTCAGTTCAGTTCCAGTGGGTTTGCAGCTTCATGTTTTTTCAAAGTTTCCAACCAGTACACAATGCATTAGACTTACTAAAACAAAAATAAATTAACGTTGCTGCTGGGCTTAACACTTAGAAGGTCTCTGTATGCCACAATATGAATTCCTCTTGAGTATTCAAATACTTTGGTGTGTGTATTCCTGCCAATGGAATAAGGATGAACTTGATGTGAACTTACATTACCAGCTCTGCAATGTAACCTCCTGTCAGCTACAGCATGTTCTTAGGTTCTGAGCGTTTAAAGTACATTTTTCTTCAAAAAAACATCTATGCTGAATCCTTAGGCTCATCTGGATGGAATGATCCATTGGGGTACTGTGAGTTCTTACGTGTAACTGAATTGATTTAGGAGGCTTGAATTCCTAATGGTCTGAAGTTTTGCTACTCTGAAAGGCTTAATTTTGTTATATTTCTCTCAGTCCTGGAGCAGTGCTGCTTGGTAGGGCAGTCTAACCTGGTTTCATAGGGTTCCTGTTCCCCGACCCACAGGCAGGACCTTGCCCTTGGCCTTGCTGAACCCCATGAGGTTTGCCCAGTTCCATCTCTCCAGCCTGCCCAGGTCCCTCGGGATGCCATCCCTGCCCTCAGCATGTCACCCACCACACAGCTCGGTGTCATGGGTGAATTTGCTGAGCGTGCCCTCGATCCCACTGTCCGTGTCATTGATGAAAATATTAAACAGTTCTGGTCCCAATACAGACCCCTGAGCAGCTCCACTCATCACTGCTCCCCATCCAGACATTGAGGTGTTGACCACCACTCTCTGGATGTAACCGTCCAACCAGTTCCTTATCCACCAAACAGTCTGTCCATCAAATCCGTATCTCTCCAATTTAGAGAGAGAAGGATGTTGTATGGGACCATGTCAAAGGCCTTAGAGAAGTCCAGATAGATGACATCTGTAGCCCTTCCCTTGTTCACTGATACGCTCACTCCTTCACAGAAGGCCACTGGGTTGGTCAGGCAGGACTTGCCCTTGGTGAAGCTGTGGTGGCTGCCTCAAATCACCTGCCTGTCCTCCACGTGCCTTGGCACAGCTTCTAGGAGGAGCTGGTCCGTGATCTCCCCAGGCACAGAGGTGAGGCTGACAGGTCAGTAGCCCCCCAGGGTCCCCATTCTACCCTTTTTAAAAACACGTGCAATGTTTCCCTCTTTCCTGGCACTGGGGGCTTCACCTGGCTCCCGTGACTTTTCAGGTATCACAGAGCATGGCTTGGCAACCACATCAGCCAGTTCCTCAGGACTCTGGGGCGCCTCTCGTCAGGTCCCGTAGACTTGTGTACGATCAGGTTCCTCCAGTGTCCACAAACTCTTACAGTGGGAGGGACTTTGCTCCCCCCACTCCATGTCTTGCATTCCATCCACTCGAGAGGTGTGGGAAGAGAGGTTGCTAGTGAAGACTGAGGGAAAAAAGTTGTTGAGAACCTCAGCCTTTTCCTGAGCCATTGCTACCAGTTTGCCGGTCATGTTCATTGGGGCGGGTGGGGGGGGGTGGGGGTGTTACACTTTCTTTGACCTTCCTTGTCTGGCTGACATACTTGTAGAAGCCCTTTTTATTATTGCGTCCCTTGCCAAGTTCAGCTCCATCTGCACCTTGGCCTTCCCGACCTCATCCCTACACAGCCAGGCTGTGTCCCTATACAGAATTCTGAAAAATTATCTGTGAAAGACACCATGAATATTAGAAATGTGTGAACAAACACATGTATATAGCCAATTGTATTTGTATATTTTAGTATTTGTAGATGTATATGGTATTTAAGCATGCCTGTATATGTGGTGTATGTCTTGTTTCAGTGTAAGCTACAGTTAATGCATGATGGTGTTATCTTATTTAAATAGCTAGTTGAACTGGAACAGTAAGAATAGATGAACCGATGTAAATCACAGATTACTACAGTTCACCGAGACCTTGTGATTCTTTCAGGTATTGAAAGGTACAGATAGAACAGCAGATAATTAGAATTAGATGTTTTGTTAGTTACTTGGCAGGAGGTCTTGTGCTTTCCTTATTTGTGAACTGTATCATGAAGAGTAAATTTTTTCACACGGGCAGCCCTTCTTTTCCAGTAGGACCTGGAATATATATATATATATATTCACATACTTTGCATTTCGGGGGGGAGGAAGAGAAACAGATGGATTATGAAGATATGTAATTGGTGGTATTTGTTAGACACTGACTCAGAGGGACTGCCACAACCGTCTTTCAGATTTGTCTGTAGGATGAAGCAGTGGAAAGCAGTTAGTAACCAGATGATATTAAATAAAACATGTTAAGCACACATTTTAGTGTCCAGTGCACTGAAGCTTTAATGTGAGCAAACCTCTCAGAAAACAGTAACAGTTCTTCTCCTACTCTTGTCTAGTCTGAGTTCAGCAGCAGCAGTTGGCAGTGCAGTTCCCAAATACTTTCTAAGCTTTCTAAAGGCCAGAGTGATGGGCAGTGGTCAGGCAGAAAAAGAGAAGCTTATCACTGAGACGGGTTAAATAAAAGGTAGTTTTCTACAGTGACAAAATTGACTTGATAACTGCCAGCCCTCTCAAGTATTAAACTCATCACTTCAGCTATTCAGTTTACAATGATGCTCCACAAAGTTACAGCAGAGACAGCAAGATGCAGGAGTTGCCGAATGTAAAAAGACACTTTTGCTGTTGGAAAGAATGTGCATGAGCGTTAGCAAATCTAAGTCTGTAACATACAAATCTCTCCTCCTTTGAAGTTAATGTCAAAGCTGCTTTTTCCTGCAGCGTGGTTTGGATAAAATCCAAATAGCAGTTAGGATTGTGTAGTGCGGCATTCCTAGTGCAGGTACTTGTTCCTTGGAATTGTTCATTAATCTTTATCTGAAAAACAAAACAAAACAAAACACCTCAAACCCAAACCAATAAAGTATAAGATTATTAACATAGCTAGAACATCTGAAACAAACTTTGCCTGCCTGGCTTTTTTTTTTTTTTTTTTTTTTTTTGTTGTTGTTGTAGAAAGCAAATGCTGTATGTTGTTTTAATCTAAAAGTTTAATTTGTACAAAGATACTGCTGGAATCACCCGTGTCTGTGTGTGTAAGGATGTTATTGACGGCTTTAGAAGTTATTGTGCGTCAGCAAAACCGCAGTACTAAGACGAAGGACAACTTCAGTTTCTAAGCTTTTTGTTTTGATAAATGCTTCCACCTAAGCCTAAACAATCTCGCTTTAACAGAACGGGACCTCACCCTCCCGATCATCCCCCGGCACAAGCAGCAGCGCTCAGCAGTGACACAAATGTGCACGCCACAGCAACGGGGCTGCTCTCGATTCTGCGAAGCGGTGCCGGCAGCCGCGGCACTGCGCTCGGGTAACGCGGTGCAGCGCAAACTGATTTTTAAAGAAGAAGACGTTAAAAATAAGATCTGAAGATGATGGACGAGAGAGGTCTGTGTACGTACGCCATGCAGGATTTTTATTGTCGAAAAGCACTACAAATCCACCCGAATTGCTGGAGGGCAGCCCGAGCTGCGAGCCGAGCTGCGGGCGGCGGGAGCGGAGCTATCGCAGGGCCGGCCTCGGAGCCCCCCACGGCCTCTTCCTCCTCCTCCTCCTCCTCCTCCTCCCGAGCCCCGGGGCTGTCTGCCGGGTCCTGGCTCACATCAGCCGCTGGCCCTCGGCGGGGCCGCCCTCCTGGCCCGGAGCTCCGCGGTCCCAGTCCCGTTCGATGTAGAGGTGGTAGGGGTCGTGCTTGGACTCCAGCTTCCGCGAGCGGGTGTAAGCCAGGATGAGCCCCCCGGCCAGGCAGCCGTAGAAGATCATGATGAGGAGGATGTAGAGCGAAGCGTCGCCCCCGGGGCCGGAGCCTCCCCCCGCCGCCGCCGCCGTCGCGCTGCCGTTACCGCCACGGCGGAACTCCCGCAGGAGCGCAGCGAGCAGCGGCTGCAGCCTCCGCGCCTCGCTGCAGTTCATAGCGCGGTGCAGCGGGGGAGCCCCGGGAACACGGGCTGGGCGCTCCGCTCCGGGGCCGGAGCCAACGCCCGGGGCGGCCTGGAGGTGCCGGGGCCGGCGGTGGGGAGCTTTGGGGCCGCGGGGATGCCGTCGTGCCCGAGCGCAGCTCAAATGGCTCAGGCGGGGAATCCAAGGGCATCTCTGTCGGCAACACGGACAGTGGGACCGAGCGCACCCTCAGCAAGTTTGCCAGGGACACCGAGCTGTGTGGTGGGTGACACGCTGAGGGCAGGGATGGCATCCAGGGGGACCTGGGCAGGCTGGAGAGGGGGGGCCGGGCAAACCTCCTGGGGTTCAGCAAGGCCAAGGGCAAGGTCCTTCCCAGGGGCCGGGGCAATCCCCAGCACAAACCCAGGCTGGGAGAGGAGTGGCTGGAGAGCAGCCCCAAGGAGAGGGACTGGGGGGGTTGTTGGGGGGAAAACTGCCCGTGAGCCAGCCCGGTGTGCTCGCAGCCCAGAACCCACCCATGCCCTGGGCTGCAGCCAGAGCAGGGGGGGCAGCAGGGCCAGGGAGGGGATTGTCCCCCTCTGCTCCGCTCTGGGGAGACCCCCCTGCAGTGCTGGGGCCAGCTCGGGGGCCCCCAACAGCAGAAGGACACGGAGCTGCTCGAGCGGGGCCAGAGGAGGCCACGGAGATGCTGGGGGGGCTGGAGCAGCTCCCCTGGGAGGCCGGGCTGAGAGAGTTGGGGGGGTTCAGCCTGGAGAAGAGAAGGCTCCGGGGAGCCCTTCGAGCGGCCTCCCAGGGCTTAAAGGGGGGACAGGAGAGGTGGGGAGGGACTCTGGATCAGGGGGTGGGGGTAGGACAAGGGGGGACTGTTTTAAACTGCCAGAGGGCAGATTTAGATGAGATCTAAGGCAGAAATCCTTCCCTGTGCGGGGGGTGAGGCGCTGGCCCAGGGTGTCCAGAGCAGCTGTGGCTGCCTCCTCCCTGGAAGGGTTCAAGGCCAGGTTGGACGGGGCTGGGAGCCCCCTGGGCTGGGGGAAGGGGGCCCTGCCTGGGGCAGGGGGTGGGACTGGATGATCTTTAAGGTCCTTTCCAACCCAAACCACTCTGTGAGTCCATGACTGAGCCTGCTGCTCCAGAGGTGTCAGCCACAGCCTTCCTGCCTCATGGCTCAGGGCTACACCTTCCTCCTGTCAGCACTCCTGCCACCTCCCAAATAGGGAAGAAAGGACCTGGTGTTTGGAAAGGCTAATTCTCCTTCCTCACAGTGCCAAATTTCATTCAAATGCACACTACCATGCTAGAAGGGATAAAATAGTCTTAATTCTGTTTGAAAGGTTTAGCTGGAAGAAAAGCAATCATGTAGAAAACAGCTGTGCAGTGCTCAGGCCTGTGCCCCTGGGAGCAGATCCTGCACAGGTGGGGCTGCTGAGCCCCAGCTGGGCTCCCTCTGGGTGGGATCAGGGAGAGGATTGAGAAAAATCTCCATTTCACTTAGCGAACAGTGCACACTGAGATCTCTTTACAGGCTCCCTGAATTACAGAAGGAAGATCTTTCATGAAAACAAATGCTTGGGAAAATGCAGGTCCACTAAAATAAAGCCAGGAAGGCGCTGGTTCTAGTCATGGGAGCTTTGGCAGCTTCCCAGGCCTGTTGCAGGGCTCTTTGTGGCAAAGCCCACGGGCATCTGAGCCCAGCCTGCCCTGGAGAGCAGGAGCTCTCGGCCAGCTCCGAGCTGACAAATTACAGCAGATCGATAAAGGAGGCCCTGGATATATAAGAGCGGAGCGTGTTTGCTGTTGAGTGGCACGTAAGGGAAAAAAGCAAGGAGGCCTTGCAAGGAAAGGTGGTGGGGCAGAAGGGCTTGAGCAGCAGCAGCTGTGGTGGTCAGACGCCCAGGGGCAGAACTGATTGAAGTAATTGGTAATTAGCTGGGGGGTCTGTTCCCTGAGCAGAAACGGCTGGAGAGGACTGAACATAATCAGGCTGGGTTCTGGGCTGTTCCCAGTATGTCTGTGCTGGAGGGGGTCCTGAGGCTGCAGCAGACAGGCAAGTTTTCTTCCTTTTTTTTTTTTCCTTTTTTTTCTTCTTTTTCCCTCAAAGCTCTGTTCCCATAGTTCTGTGTATTTTTGAAATTCTGTGAATGCTCTGAGGGTTTTAAATTTTTCCTGCTCCAAGGTTGTTTATCTGCTAACTTTTTAAATTCAGTTGTTATGTTTACAGGTGAACGTGGGAGTTGCATATGTTAGAGATTCACAATCTCTCCAGCATCTACAGTCGGTTTTACTTTGTGCAGTTTCTTTGCTGGTTTCCAGGAGGTGGTTAGGGCTGATCATTGTGTTCCATCCCATTTTCTTCTCGTTGCTTTCAGGGAAAAGGATATTTTAACAGCAGACCAGAATGAACGCCCATCTGGAAGAGCAGCTAGAAGGGCAAGTTGATGTGCTATTGACTTGGGCTTTTCTGTGTAAACAGTGTCAGGCAAGGGTGCAGTCCTGCTGTGTAGTTTCCAAAGGATAGCAGCTGGTTTTCTGTAATGCTTCTCTTTTTAAGTTGCTCCAGAAGAAACAGTAGTAAACCAGGATGTTTCTGCAACAACGTATTCTCCCTTCTGTTTGTTGGGATTTTTTTGGTGTGTTTGTTTTTTTTCCTAATAGTTGCAATTCATTATTTCTCCATCAACAAAATATAACTGAGAAACCCTCTGGTTTATGGATAGGTATGATCCTTAAATTTACAGGCTATAGGGTGTAGTGAGCGATCACTGCCTGGTCAGTAAGACGTGTTTCTGTTGTGCATATGGGTGCGGATTTTTTCTCTTACATGTCCTCATACAAAATGTTGTCTCTTAAGCAAAATTTCTGGCTTGGGTATGTTGCAGGCATCTTCCTTTTTCATGATCTATGGGTGACCTAGTAGAAGTGTGTTGGTGGCTAGACAATGGAAATAAAAATAGAAAATACAGTAGATCCCAGTTTTTACTAGTTAGAAGGGTTGAATATCCATTTAGAATCTCAAGAGAGCCCAACACTAGTCAATTTTTTCTTCACAGAGTGTCAGGTTTTAATTTGCTTTTCTATAGTATGTTTTTTGTTGGCACAACCAATTTTCTTGGCATCTTTCTTCTGCAAGTAAGGACTCTGCTTGTCAGTGAATGCTTAGAGTGGGCCGTATATAGGTTAAAACGGAGTCAGGCTGACTTGTTAGAAATTCAGCTTGAGTTGTGGCGTAGCATTTGTTTGCAGAGCTCCTTAAAGAAGTCAGTGTCACCACCTGTGCATTTCCATTCCTCCCACCAGTACCATTACTGTGCTACTGCAAGTGTTCAGAGCAGAGATCCAGGTTTTAAAAATAACAAGGGAAAAAAGGCACAAGGTGAGAGTTACACCGTTGTGTAAGAGGCAAATATGTTCTGGAATGAAGCTAGAGGCTTTGGGAGGTAATTAGCCAAAGCTGTATAGGGCAGATGGGGCAGGTATCATATTTTGAACATAGGGACAGAGCGGCCCTGATTAAATGACCCTGATTAAATTTCATAACAGGCTCATCAGGAGAGATTGTGTTTGCTTAGACTTGAAAGACAGAAAGTAAAGTAGGGCAGGCAGCTATAGAGAGCAGTGATCCATTCTTCATGTTCACTCCCTGGGGGAGCACCATAAGTAATAAGCTGATCTATATCCAACAGGGAAGGTTTAGGTTAGGTACCGTGTTGTTTAAAACAAATCCAAACCTGGCAACACCTCCCAGGACAGGGATTTTCGTTAAGCACTGGAACAGTATGTGGACTCACTACCCGAAGTTGTAGCTGAGCTAGTTTTATTCTTAAATAGGCTCAGCAATACAATAGGCCTGTCAGTAGTCCAAAGCTGTTTCAAATCAAGAAGTGCTAAATTGCTTCCCTCTCCACTTCCTTATCTGTGTTTTAAAAAAATGACTTACGACATCTTTTTGCTTTACCGTTTTAATGATAGGAAATCATGTCTTAGAGAGATAGGTGCTCATCCTCAGGGTCCGGAATTTCAAAAATAATGGGGATAGCATAGATGTGGTGGTCACACTTCTGTTTAGAAGGCAGGTGAGGGTGAATACAGAGATAAGCACGTGTAACGAACACCAAGTGACTTCTGGCCTCTCTGCTGTTTGTCATTAGCCAGGTTATCCGTGTTTCAAAACGGGAGATGGCAGAAAAAAAGCAACAGACTTTTCTTTTGCTTTAAAAGTGTAGGTGAGGACTCTCAGGATCAGACATTGTGCCTATAGCTCTGCTAATTTAATTAGTTGGAAGTGCATAGTCTTGACATTAGGCCAGTGCTAAAGACAGCTTTGGACAAATTACCTGTGATGATCAGCTTCGTTAAAACACTTTGTCTATCTAGAATGGATCTGATTTTCCTCAAAACATGTCTCCCCCCAATAAATGTGGAGCAAGATTCTAGATATTACAGCTTCCAGTAGCAAAGCAATAGTGCAACCACCCCATTTCTGTCAGAATTGACTCATATTAAATTATGCGAAAACGGTAGGCCAGCAACAAATGTGTAGTCAGCTCTATTCTCCATGGCTGATGTAATCCTATCATGTTAAAAACAAAAAAAAAGGCAATCAGTAATCTGCTTTACAGCATGAGTTAACTGGAACCATCTTTTGTTTATTAATTCAGGTAAATCCACACTACTGTAAAATACTTGAGTTTTACTCTACGTGCATCGTTCAGAATTCCATGTAAGCAGTGACTGCAAGTTTTACTGATTATATTTTGTAAGTCATGCTTGTGGTATCTTATGCAAAAGCACAAGATTTGTTATTTTGAGGCTTCTAATGTTTAAATTTTAGCCTCCAAAAGGGAAGGATTTACTGTTATGTAAATAAAACTTAGCCATTAGGCAGGCTCAGGTTAAAAAAAAAAAAAAAAAAAAAAAAAAAAACAACCAAAAAACAACAACAAAAAAACAAACAACACCCCCCCCCCCCAAAAAAAAAAAAAAACAAACAAAAAAAACAACAAAAAACCCAAATACAGAATGAGAATTTATTTCTTGTGTTGTATGTAATTGTGGAATGTCACCAATTTATCATTAGAATACAGTGCAGTTATTTGAAACAATCATTCTGGGATGTGATAGATGTTTTGGGTGGGGTTTTTTTGTCTGAAAATTAGTGACCCGTGTTTTCAACTCGTGTCCTGTTCCTTATATAGCCAGAAAGTGTTTGATGGGAACTGCAGTTCAGCGTCTGGGCTGACCTGGCAGGCAGCCCTCTGCATCCCGTCACGCTCGAGGCTCTCAGTTGCAATGAGGGCTAAAATTGCCCTGCGTTGGTTAAGCACCACCTCACCTGCCCTAATGGGAAGAACTCATTACTTTTTTTCCTCGCAAGCCATTTCATGCCGTCTCACCGTGGCGTGCAGCATCACTGTTGCGCTGGGTACAGGAACCAGCTCTCCCAGCCCCTACCCAAGGTTCTGTCAGAGCTGCTCCTGGGTTGAACCTCCACCGAGGCCCTAAAGGCTTTTAGGGGCAGAGATCGTGAGCGGCTACTTCAGGATTTAATAAGGAATTGTTTTAAAGTTCTGTGTTTCTTTTAAAATGTCTAATCATAAATGGCACGTGGTGTACGTGCTCTCTGTTCCTCCTTTTCCACTGGTGACAGCTCTTTCACACCTTTGTTAGGGTAACGTTGTACACAGTCAGAGGTTAATCATCTCTTTGTCATGTGCCATTCCTCTCCAGGCCAGCTAAACTCAACTATGTTCTTCCTTTGTAGATCAAGTTTCTAGTCCCACTGGTACTGTAGTTCCGCTCTGGCCTTCTCTAGATAGCCCGTGCTTTTTTGGAATAGAGGGCCTAAATATAATCTCATATCAGACATACCTGAACTGGATATTGTTTCTCCTTGCACTTTTTTTCTCAGGCTTAAGATAAATTCTAAATTCTGAACCTGCTTTCTGAAGGACTCGCAGCTACTTTCTGGAACCTTCACATTCAGTAAATGAACTGTTCCCTCCCACCTCAGTCCCACACTGTACATCCCTGCAGTCGTGCACAGGGTATCCGCTGTAACCATCCCGTACCAGTTGTGGAGCCATGCACTATCACTTCATCTGCGTCCTAGGCCCTCAGTTTTAATGGGGAGAACAACATCTTTGCTCATCCTGTTTCTTACTTCTTGACAAGCTCTGTCACAAAAGGATTTAGAATTCATTAAGGATAAAGTTCTCACCAAACTGCAAGTATTAGATTTGCAAATAATCCCCATATTTGAAGGCAGCCTGATGTAATCCTTCCCCTTTTCCAAAAATACTTGAAAAGCTGCTGTGTATCCAGTTTTTTTTTTGCAGCACCTCTACATTTAGTTCATTTCTTAAAAGGAAAACTAGACCCATTCTAGGCTTTGTTTTCACCATCTGTAGCATGTACTGGTTGCTGCTGATTTTGAGAAGTTCTTCCAAGGTGTGCTCAGTTCCTGAGAGAATGTGAGGCGCTGAACAGTAACTAGAGACAACTTGTGCAATATATAAAGATCTTTCAGAACACAAACTTGTTGAACCATTTAAACTGTATTACACTTTTGAAATGTTAACGCTGTGTATGTGCATATATATATTGAAAATAGCAATCCTCAGTCAGCCAGGACACCGAAGGTACCTGCAGTCTAGATAAAATACACTTCATATAAATACATTCACAGTCTTAAAAAAATCGTACAACCTGCTAACAGACTCATGTACAAGTAACTTTCTTACATGTATTTAACTTCTGTGATGCTAACAGGCTGACTAAAGGGTGTTTAATAGTGACCAATTTTTAAACATGGAAAAATTGGTAACACGGCTCCAGGGCTGAGTCATTTAAAAAATTGCTGCTGATCTGGGAAGAATTTCCTGTTGTCGTAAACCAACTGTATGTGTCTTTAAAAAAAATAATTATTTTTTTAGAAAAGCTATTTCCTTGTTCCTCTTAGTGACTGTTGGTGTAGTTCCATGCACAACTAGATACAGTCAGTTTTATACACCAGATTTTCTTTTGCCCCTTCCCCTCAGGGTTCTTGGAAGATGAGCTGGCAGTGTTCTGGACTGGCTGGAGGAACTTATGCATGGGGAAGTCTGAGGTTGTTCCCAAGGAGAGGGGACAGTTTAGATAATCAGTATAGAGCCAAGATTTATTTTTGTCAAAATCTGTTTTAACTGGAAAAAAATAAAAATACACACACATGCAATAATGGAAAAAATTGCCTTGAAATTGTAAGCTAACATGTTCAAGAGAAGCATCATACAAAATCTTTTACTTTCTGTACAGTAACAATACCAAATAATTTTTCTTTTTAACCATCATATACACAACACAAATATTATGAATAGAAATCTATAAATACTTTAAAATGAATTTGTAATATATAGCAGTTGAGGGCCACAGCTGTACAAAATGTAAGCAACATATATAAAACGATTAAGAAAGTGCAAAGTAGAACAGTATCAAGAGCCTCCACTTTTTACAGCATTTATGGTTCAAGTGTGAAGAGCGAGCAGGGATGCGGGAGCTCAGTTACAATTCAAAAGAAGACACAGTACAGGATCCTGCACACCAAATGATGAACTATTATTAAATTATATCTTCCCACTTCTTCACATCTACGACTTCCAGTTACTAAGAGAACGTTTTTGTAATGAATTTCTGTAAAGAGTGATTTGTCCCTTTTCCACAAGTTCCGTAAAACAAAGGTTCCTCGGTCACAAACTACTTTTTCTGTAAGTAAAACAAGACTACATGGGGAAACTCCTGTTGGTTTCTGGTTGCCTTGTTATGCTTACCACATTTAAAAGGTGAACGGAAATACCTTTCCATAAAGTCAGTACAGACCCTGATCCTCTAAATTCCATACAGATAGCCTGTACCATTACTCACATGTATGTGAAGGACTAGAGGATCAGTGCCTTAAAAACAAAGCTACCAACCACCCCTCAAAAAAAAAACCCAAAACTTTGAATTTCAAATCTGCTTAGAGACAACTGCCCATCAATGTCCCTGTTGTCTGCCAGTCAAGATGCAAGTTTTGCACTCTGCATTCAGGAGATGATTTCTCATCAGTACCTCCTGTAGCAGTGCAAGTCTTTTTTCTTTATGCTGTTTGTTCCAGTTGAAAGCTCTGCTTGAATTAAAACACAGCGGCAGGTAAAAATGTATTTGGTGTGTTGGAAGTTGAAATAGTTAATTCAACGCTCCTGAATGAAATTTCAAATAACTTGTTTTTAGAAAGCTTTTCAGTTCACCTTTATTTCAGTAAGTGTACTTTATATTTTTTTTTAGGCACTGTAAATATTCAGGAAACTAACTGATGTGCAGAAGAATCCATCCATTCTCAAGCAGTGCATTATTAATGATCTCTAGCAAGTTCTTGACTGATGTTTTCATCTTGTTTTTGTTTTTAAATGGAGAAGAGTAGACTTAAAATACTCTTTCCTCTCTTGCTGACAGAAGACTCATCACAGTTACATTAATTTTTCTCTTTGAAATATAGGCCAGAATTCAGAATGAATTAAAGAGAAGTTGCAAGCAATCTGAATATGCTAGAGAAACAATAAAATAACCTCGTCATACTGCTTCACATAATGATGTCTGTCTCAAAACTGGAGATGATCACGTGAAACTGTGAAGACCATCAGTGTCTAATCTGCTAATAATTAAGAATTTGAAGTCTAAGATATTCTCTGTTGTACTTGATAGAGATTACAGAAACATTCATCCATTTGCTATATTTTCTGAATGTGTGATATCTACAGTATACACAGACATCCAAAACTGAGGCATGAGAAGGAACCATCTGCACAGCTCTCTGGTCAGCATAGCTTGTTTATTTGCCTCCATACATTCTTTCGATGTCATTGAGGTAATGGTTTTTCAGTTCTTTCCTTTTCAGCTTGAAAGCATCTGTTACTAACCCGGTCTCTGGGGTCCATGGTTCAGGGCTTAACCGTACTTTGATGGGTATTTCAAACCTTTCTAATTTCACTGCAGGGACAAGAAGAAACAAAAGCACGACTATAATTACATAGCCAAATGAAATACAAATTCATGCTACCTAAAAATCTAAGGAGAGTACCCCGTAGCTTCAATAATGTGGTGTCCTACTTAATGAAGTAACCTTCCAGAAGGGCCACAAGCAAATTTAATCTTGTACCAATGCAGAGTGCTGGTTAGTGTGCAGATATTCTGGTAACACACTGTACTTATGGCTTATATTGGATGTGACAATGTAAAATTTAAAGCTTGAAACAAATGAGTGTGTAGCCTGAAAGTCCGAGGCTACTGTCACAAGAGGAACACACTGAAATCTAGAGTTGTACCTTTGTTATGGGAATGTACGGACAACATGTTTAACTCGGACTAGTCAGATGTGCTTGATATTTAAATTATAACGAAGTACTTCTACACCTTCCATGGTTGAATGATTCTTTTCCAAATTCCTCCTTCCTAAGAGGTCATTTGGAGTTCAAAAGAAAAGGACTTCTCTGTGTTTTTATTACATTAGTCACTTATTCTCCTTTCAGCTGGAAGCAGTGGCTTGGCACACTCACAGCCTCACTGCAACCGAAGCCACTTCTACCCCCTGCCCAGGCAATGGGTGAAAGAGGGTAGGCAAGGCGGGAGGGGGGTGACCCCTCCAGGGGGCAGGGCAGGGAGCTGCTGCCTCTCTGCAATCCTTGCTGGACTCTGCTCGCAGCTCCTCCGTGTAGGCCTGTAACAGGATCCCACAAACACAGACTTGGAGGGGAATGTCTGGGACAACTCCAGGCAGCAGCCAGCGTAGGACGGCTGGGACCTCCAGCTCCGAGTCTGTCCCGGGGGCTTTTCTGTCGGTGCGGTGCCAGTTTGAAGTTAGAATGTACTGTTTCATCTTGGGTATATGCCTGATTGTGAGAGGTGCATTCCGTTCCACTGAAATGAGAACTAGCTCTTTAAAATAAATTTGAAAAAAAGTTTCAAATAAATCAGTTTTATCTCAAGGGTAGATTACTACCCAGAAGGTGAAAGGAATGTATAAGCAAAGATTTTGAATAAACAAAGCAAAACAGATAGTAATTTGCCTAGTTCATGATAGAAAAATGGATTAAAATGTTTAAACCCAAGTCTGAGACCTACAAATATTTTTTTTCTTTAAAGGCAAGACTTAATAGTACCTTTCACTCTTCTTTTCTTAGTTTCAAAAGGCAGGTTCTCCTCTCTACATTTCAAGAGGTAGTACTTACTGTGTGCTTAAGTCCAGTTTTACTACTTCCTTGTATGACATGCCAAGTGCTTTAGAGACTCTTTTCCCCAGTTAGTTTTTTTTAATTTTTTGGCCCCATAAAGGACTGATGAGGCTTTTAATCATTCAGTACCACAGCAAGAAACAGCTGGCTTTTAAGCCATTAAAGTTACAAGGATCGTGGTTGTTCAGAGCTGTAGGAGATAAAGTTACAATGGGAAAAAAAGCTTTGAAATCTCTTGCTTAACTAATTTTCTTACCAGCAAATGTCCTGTAACTTTCCTTCCAAACTGACAGCTCTCTGCCCTTATTTTAACTGTTTTAGACAAGCAACCTGTCTGTAGAATTCAGCTGAAAAAACACCTCAGATTTTTTATTTTTGTTTTTTTAGAAAATTAAAAAAGAGAGTAGCTAATACAGCCAAGAAGTACACCAACAATTCCTGGGATAATAGGCAACAATGTGACACAGTCTTTGCCTCTGATTAAATTATTAAGTTTTGGCAGATACAGAGGCAAGGAGAAGAAGGAAGAGCAGTGTGGATAACTGAAAATTTTTGCTGGATAAGCACTGTGAGCTTGGTTAGCACAGTATGCTACTTTACTTACTCTTGTTTGCCACTTCTTTAATCTCTCGCAGTATTTCAGCTTCCATTGTAGGATTGTTACAAATATCTACCCAGGTTCCACTGATGCCTTTCTGCTCAGCTAATGCTGTCAGCTTCTTCTGATTAGGAACCACAAAACTGATCACGTAAGACTGGTCGCTACCACAGGATGGCAAGAGAAGGAAGGAAAAAAGATCCAGTTGAGACTTCCATTTCAGGGCACAAAATGCTTACCTGGCGTTAGATTCACAGATCCACAGTGCTTTTTGAACTGCAGTTGTTCCCCCACACAGTCCCTCTTGAGCATTAAGTCTTCACAACTGATGATTTATCAAAGGTGTTCTAGAGTTGTTTTACAACGCTAGGTTTGATCGGTATCGTGCTTTGCTGTACATTTCAGGAGCGAGCGCACATCTCAGTTTAGCTTCCCAGCTACAGCCAGAACTTAGCTACTTCTCTTCAGTTTCCCTTCATGTCATGTGTTTAAGTTGAGGGGACGGAGAGGAGAGACTGGGACTATTTCCAAAACCCGGTGGAGAGCTTTGGATCAGGTGCAAAGTGTCCAGAATAACTTTTCCCTGGTATTCGGACTGAAAGCCAAACCACGTGCTAAATAGAATGCTACCTGTTTGGGGATGGGATGGGACTGGAATGTATTAGGGTAGGAGAAGTGTCAATAGACGTATGTCTTGTCTTCAGGTTTTAGGGAATCTGGACACCTGTGCTACTTCAGAGGAGCTGTTTATAACTTGCACTCTGGTAGTGGGGTTTGGTCAATGGAAGCCATCAGGGAAGTGGGTCAGAGACTGTATTTCATGTTTACTCTAGATGGAGTTTGTAAATGAGTACCTCTCTTACCTTTTGGCATAAGCACAGATATTGTCAATCAATGGACAGTTCTTCAGTGCTGCCTCTACTTTGCCCAGAGATACATATTCTCCTGCTTGTAGCTTTACCAAGTCTTTCTTACGATCTAGGAGTCAAGGGGAAGATAAAAAACCCCACCTTGTTCAATTCAAACTTTTGCATTTCCACAGACTCATCTGCAAAGCCACCATATATGTATTTTGTGCAATGCTATGCAAGATTCTTTATAAACATGTATTAAGGCATCTTACTACATTTTTAAAGCCACTAATAGCATTCTACATATTTTGCCAACTTTATAAAGGCTTCTGTAAAAAAGCTTATATAGCACTGTACTTCTTGGCACACAACCCGTGTGAAGGTGATGGGGCCTCTGATTTTAAAGCTTTGTAATTAATACCAAAAATTAAGCTTATGTTTATTCTTTAAAGTCTATGTGCTAAATTTAGATAGTGATAATGTCACAGGAAACAGCATCACTTCCTACAACTGTGAGGACTTTTGGAAATGTGCTTTACACCGCGATTCTGCAAGCAGGTAACCTTAATTAGATCAGCCCTGGCAAAGCCAACAGGATTAAGAGCATGCTTATTATTATGTTTAGTCAAGATCTTATATTAAGATATCAAAAATTGAGGCCAACCTATGATCTGCAGACACCCATCCGGATGAAATTCCCCTATATCTCCTGTACAGAACCATCTCTGACCGCTCTCATCAATGCAGAACTCTTCTGTTGTCTTCTCTTCATTTTTAAAATATCCCATTGAGACATTAGGTCCACCAATTATAATTTCTCCTCTAGGATTAGGCTTGTCTTTATTTGTATATCCCCCTGAAAACAAGAAAATCCCCACACAGTTATTTTTAACTTATATATTCTGTGGCCAGGAAAGTATTTTGAAGCTTCAGCTTGAAGCTAATGCACACGAATTGGTGACTACTACAGACTGGTGACTACTCTATCTAAGAGCCATTACTTCATGTGCTACACCTAGCTAAGCAGTTAGGCAAAGAAACCAGCTATGCAGTGGTTATATTAGTTGCTCTGAAATCAAAACATTTAATAGTCTCACCTTCTTGCCAGTCTCTCAACTTTATTTCACAACAAATAAGAGGAGCTCCAACTCTGCCAGTGCTGTAATCGGCAACTTAGGGAGGGAACAAGGAAGAATACAAAGATTTTTGTCATTTGAAATATAAACTCAAACCATAAATAAGGCGGTAGCTTCTCTCTAGTTACTTTATTGCAGTTAAGAACTACAGCTATTTTGACTGTACAAAAAACCCACCAAACCCTCATATATATCTATATCTTAAAATGCTTCTGGAAATACAGAATTTAACTACCTTCTGTAATTGTTCCAGCTCCACATGTTTCTGTTAGTCCATAGCCTTGACCAACAGGACAGCAAAAACAGATGTTCATGAATCTCTGTGTTTGAGGTGAGAGTGGTGCTCCTCCAGAAAGCATCATACGGACATTCCCTCCCAGTAGTGCCTTTACTTTTTTAAACAATAGTCTTGAAAGATGGAAAAAAGCATTAAGAAGAATTCAATCCGCTCACTTTTATAAAAGACACAAACCTCCTTCTTCCTTCCCATCTGGAACATCTATAGATTTTAGTGGACAGCAGGAATGATCAAAGTTACCTCTTGTGTAACACCTGAAGATGGCAGAATTCCTGTAACTTAACTAAACAAACATTCCAATTTTACTGCTTAAAAAAAAAAAGGCAATCCAATGAAAACTAACTAGTCATCCGTTCTGAAGATTAGTCATTTCTACCAGTAAATACCTTATCCATTTCCAGTAAGAACTCAGATTATTTCAGTTAGTCATTACGTGGTATTTGCACATCGGATGACATTTGTCTGATGTCAGATAGCTTAGATGATTATTCTTCTAGACTGTCTTATCAAAGCACAAGGAAAAGGTACACTCAGACCGTGAATTATACTTACACGTTACACAGAGGCGCATCATATCCCCTCTTGATTTGTTCCAATTTGTAGTCATAGCCTATCTTGAACAGAGTTCTCTGAATATAGTTCATCTCTTGAACTTTACTCATGACATTTTTATAAATTCTGTCCATTATTTCCTACAAAGTGTTAAAAAAAGCAAGGGAAATTACCCCATAGAATACACTAGCATGTGTAAATTAAATTGTATGTTAATAATAAAATAAACACCCCTATTATTCTTCTCTTAAAATCATAATATATGATGTCTGCATCATTGGTTAGGCAATGCTTAACTGTAATGCTTTTAATGTGTGATCAATTAGTCAATTTATAGACCATTGCAGCTTGGAGCTATTTGAAAGGGGTGAAATGAAGTACTGAAAATGCAGTAGAAAATTAGTGACTTGGCCTGCCTTTTCTCCATTTGACTTTTTTTCTCCTCACACCAGTATCACTGGAGAGGAAGGACCCTCATGCTGGTGTAGCATATACCTTGTATCAGAAAACTTGCTCTGAATTAGGCAGACAGGTGAGTCAAGGGCAAACAACTGAGTGGCCACTGTGGGTCTTCAGGCGTGCTCCAGTAATTCACAGTACCCCTTGCACTTCTACAGACAGCTTTCTCAACCTCACATTTGGTTTTAAAATATTTTCAGAATGCCGAGTGGAAAGTATTTTGTCTATCAACCACAGCTACAAATCTTGGGTAACTCCCACAGCGTAATAACACCTGCTATGTTATATTGCTTACATTATCATAAGACCTTAACCTGTACTTGAAATGTGACAAACTGATTGAGAAAATATTGAATTCAAGTTTAGCTAAATCTCTTTGCTAAAAGGTTGGCATGTGCCATGCAAGATTTATTCTGCTTAGGAGTCCCGATGCCATACTTTATCCACAGCAATTGGCAAGCACAAGGGAATGAGCTAAGAGATTTCATTTCACCACTTCTTTTTTCAAGAGTTTTTCAACTTTCAAAACAATGTAGTTGCAGTAATTCTACTTACCTGACAAAAAACCCCACAATTCTGTCACAGACAAGAAATTAATTTCCATTAAAATAATAAACTTGCCACCACTAAAATACACAGAACTTAAATAGTGTTCAGACTGGTGAAGTATTTAACAGAAGTTTAAGGATTGGCTCCTCCGACTTTGTTACAGAGCACAATGCTTGGAAGTATTCACATGCTTTATAACAAAAGTAAAATTAAAAAGCTATGAAAATTATGTACTTTGAAATAACAGATCAAAATATTAAAGTCTTATTAGAAACCACTCTCGTTAGTGTTTTTGATTAGTTCCTTCAGATCTTCATGACTGGGATTCAGACAAACTCAAATTTCAGAAAAAACTGTACACTATTTTCAGTCTAGTTTACCTGCAGAATAACATCTAATGTTTCCAAAAGACAGACAAATACCTTAAAGCAGAATGAATTGTAGCTTTTTTGGAAAGACTCCAGAGGCATGACAAGGTATTCAGATTTACAAAGGCTGGAAGAAACTAGTAACCCTTATTACAATGTTCTGATTGAATCAAGTATTTAGAAATATTTGTGTCTCTGGATTCTGTTAGAATTATTTTCCATTTCTTTCCTGATATGTTCTAATCACTGGTGATGTTATGATGTTTTGAAGATAAAAAAAAGACAATAGTTCTACGGAGAGAAATATTTATTAGATGATATTATGTAAGTGTTGTGGGCTTTCTGAGGGTTCTTCCTCTTTCCTGTAGATTGTTGAACTCTAGATCCTGTATGCTGTCAACTGAAAATGGATCTTCAGTTTCAATTTTATTTTTTCTCTGCTAACTTCTTTGCAATATTAAGTCTGTAGAATCAAGACATTTAGGTGGAGTTCAGCATTATCACTGTTCTGCAGTTAATTCATATGAAGCTGTCTGCATGGGCTTTTTTTTTTTGCACATGTATGAAATATGGTCCTTTCAAGAGGGATTATGACTGTATTTAAATTTACACTGGTTTTGCCCGTAGTCTAGCATTTGCTTTTTCTCCAGGAAATAAATTTAAATGGGTATTTTCCAAAAAACGGGTTCTCAGACGTATTAATTTTCACCTGGTTAATTATTAAGAAAAAGACCAAGCCTATATACATATAATTATTATTTTATAAAACAAAAATACAAGTAATTGATGTAAAAACTCTCAGCTGTTCCCAAAAGATGCTGCAGAACAACCCAATCCAACTAAAACTCACTATTCTCAAATGAGATTAAATCCTCCTACTCGCCCATCACCACCATGTGGCAAAAGCTGGTGCTACCAGTCTTATGAGCCACAGATGTGATCTGATCATAAAAGAAGCACATGTGATTCCAGGACACGCGAGGAAGGTTTTTGCATTAGAAAGCCATAAACATTTGTGTATTTTGGGGACAGCACTAAGTCCTTGCAGAATGCAGAAGCCTGGTGACCCAAAGACCAGCGTAAGCTACAGAAGCAACAGGAGTTACAGCCTCCTGATCATTTTTTCTTCTAAAAGGAGACTAAGCGTGGCCTGCTTACTTTAAGAACAGCAAGAGAGACTTGGCCTAAGTGTTACCTTGGAGACAAGCAGCTGAGATTGGGCACCCCAACAGCAGTGCAGCTTAATTTGCTAAATTCTGTAATTCAGCCAAATGCCCGTACCCCGAGTGTCCATCTCGGCCAAAGCCACCCTGCTTTCTCCCTATGCAAAGAGGAGTTTCAGACTGTGAATGTCAAAGACTCCGCATCCTATTCGTGTAAAAGTAGCCCAGTGAAACTCACTTGTAACCATTAAAACACATCTATAATTTTGGATCAAAAGGGGTCTTGGATTTAGCATACATATATTCTGGTGCTCATCTGTGGCGTCAGTACTTGGTTCAAGCCGTGACAACTACAATTTCTATGTTCTGCCTTTTTCCTATTAGTGACAGTTACTTACACATGGAGAGAAAAAAAATGTTAGTAAATAGATTTTTCTAGCATGAACAAGATATAAAGCATTTTTTGGCTAAATGTATCTGCTTCTGCATACTTACAGGCACAGCCGCCATCAGTGTAGGCTTAAGTACAGTACAGTCTCCTTTGCTTCCCTTCTTAATTTTACTTGACTGTAATAAAGAAAAAATGTCAATTTAGGGAGCTGAAAACCAAGCAGGTCTTCAGAAAAGGACTAAAAGAAGAGGGAGATGTATTAGCATGTAATTTGTTTAAAATTTCTTCCCCTGTCCTTCCAAAAATAATTTCCTGTGTATTTTTTTTTCCCCCACTGTGATAGAAAGGCTAATGATTAATAACACTTTCAACCAAAATATCAGATGTTTTACAAGCCCAACCTGCTTAAGTCCACTTTTTGTATATCTTTCTCTTACTTCCTCCCTTTAGTACTTGCTTTCTCTTCCATTTTCCTCTGGGAGGTTTTTTTGCCTGATACAATCTCTATACCAGCAAGACACACAGAAGCATTCTTCTCCAGGTTAATATGCTCTTATTTATCTTAATTGTTAAATAGAAAAAGGCAACGGGCTAAATAGAAGATCTAGAATAACTGGATAAAGAACTGATAAAGTGAGGCCAAAAACTTAAAAAGACTTTAAACAGAGTTAAGTTCAGCTAATCTCTTAATAGCTGTTCTTATCCTGATATCCAGTGGATAATGCTATATGCATTTATTAGGCTTTCTTTTAGATTTCATAAGTATCATAAAGTTTTTAATAAAATTTCTATGGTATGACCTGGTGCTACAGTTCACCAGGAACATTGATTTGCATCATTTTCTGAAAAAAAAATTACATTTCTGAAGTGTGCCATATACATCAGCATTTCTTTAATGAAAGAGTATAGCTGAGCAAGAAGAATGCAGACTGCAAAAGCATATTTAAGCTTCCCTCTCCCCCCATACCTGATCTGATAGTGTGAGTGGAGAGGAATAGCCAATCCTGCAGCCGTAAGTGATGCAAGAAATTTCTGCTGTCAATTCTAATACATGGGCCAGAGGCAAATAACCAATATAAGTATCCTTGGGTCTAGGAAAGGAAAGGATTATCTAATTAACAATGATGCACAAGTGGACTGAAAATACTATTTAACAGTTTTATTGTGTGCTTAGTTATTACTTTTTGAAAGACTTGGTTCACGAGTGAGGTTTCTTATTTTGCACGCAGGAAGGGTCTGAGTTCAACCACAGTTTATAAACAGAATGGGGAAAATCCCACCTTACTGAAATCAGTATGAATTACAGGATTTGCCTTGTTTTCTAGGAAACTCAAAGATGCCTTAGTGCTCCACTGCTATTTCCTCTCACTGTGGGAGATTTCATCCCAGGTATGAAATATTAAGCACGAAATAACTATATTTTAAAATAATCACCAATGATTTACAAATCCCTAAGAGTCATCATAGCATCTCCTTCTAAAATGCATTAGTAGAAAGGGAGCTGATGGCTGAAGTACTGAGGCTTATTTCAGGAAATAATTTCTTAGAGATTTCTCAGCAAGAAGCTTAGAGCTGTCACTTAAGCTTTCAGCATCAAATCAGAAATGGTTTTATATCCTATCACAAAAGGAGGTTAACAATGTAGCTTATTTCAGCTATTAAACCCCTTGTGAATACAGTGACAAACACACATTCATGACAACTTTCCTCAAAATACCAGTGTGAGGGAGTTTGCAGTTAGTTTTACTATTGTCAATGCACCATTTATTATTTTTCTGCTCATTTCAGTGAAGTATAATTGAGCGGGTTCTGCAGCACGTGCATTGCCCAGCCAGCAGCGGTGTCCCTAGGCCAAGGGACGTGGTAGGCTCTGGTATACTTCCTGAAGTGATTCTATCTCTCTGAAAACATCTAAAAAAAAAAAATAAAAAATTTCCCAAGTTTGACTAGATGAGGAATCTCCTTATCTGGTAGCATCTTCTGATGCCCAAGAAAGTGCAAAAATGCACCAAAGGCCTAAAGCTAAGGGTGATAATAATAACAAAAAAAGCAAAAACTGTTTGTGAGACGAGCTAGAAGGGCGTCCTTTTCAAACAACAGGGAAAGTTCACAAACACAAGATGTATTTCTTATAAACTGAAGATGAGTGGGCTCACTATAAAGTGATTTGGTAACACCAGATGTCAGCAATGGACTTTCTATAATCTAAACTTTTGGAGGTTCTGTTTTATCTCTCTGTACACACACCAACTAAGTGTTTCTTACCCTAGTCCAGGTATTCTCTCGCACTGTCCCGTCATTCCAGCTATTAAGTTTTTATGCATCATCATCACTCCTTTAGGTCTCCCAGTAGAGCCACTGGTGTACATTACTAAAGCCAAGTCTGTAGGAACAGGTCTGCTTGGCAAAACTCTTGCTGCAAAATGCAGGAGAAAACCCCTTATTACTTCTTATCTACATTCTAAATTGTTCTTTCTGTAATTAATCAATGTGAAAATGTCTGTAATCAACCAGTGTAACAGGTGCTTCAGCAGAGGTAAGCACAGTGTGCTGCTAAGGGTCCGTGGCAGGTGCAGATGAAGAGCAGTGGACTGTCGGAAAGTTTCATAGAAAAAGCCTTTGGAAGACCAAGTAAACCTGTCAAGGGTAGTGAAGAGGAGAAACACAGTACTGGAGATAAACAACAGGTTGAGGGGGTGGGGGATGTGTGAAAACAACAACAAAAAAAAACCAGCAAAACCAAAACACCACCCCAAAATCTATGAGTCAGCTTTTCTGTCAATCACTCTTCCAAAGCCAAGGTTGTAGAGCTAAGACTATTTTTTTTTTTTTTTTTTTCAAATGAACCCGCTTCCAGTAAGTTGCTAGTTAGTGGCAAAGCAGTAAGTTTACAACACTTGACTTTTTGTTTTAATCCCTTATCATTTATTTTTGGGATGAAAATTATTAGCTTTCACAGCTGGAGAGGCAGCAGAAGTATCTGCAAGGGAAGCAGGGAAAAAAAAAAAAAACACGAAACAACACCCCTCAAAGTAAGTGCTGGTTTGTACCTGCACCTTAAGCTGATCAAAGATAAGCAGTTGAAATGAATATGTGCTTCACTGCAGAAAGCTCCTTTGCCACTTTATCTCCTTTTATTGAAGAAAGAGGAGATCTGGCTAAGCACTGACTGCTGATTTAAGGAAAAGAGACGATCAGGGTTGTTTTTTTCTTCCTTAAAGCAGATGTTTACAGTCAGTCCTAGCTGCCCAATGTAGCAAGGGACTTAATGTTCATTCCTCTAGCCCAAAGTGCTTTTTAGCTACAGACTGGTTAAGAAATAAAAGACATTTCCAAGCCAACAAGAAAAAAAAAAAGCCTCAAGCGCTTTCTCCTCTTTTCTTAGGAAAAATTGTGAAAATAAAATGAATAAAAGGTAAGAGTAGCAGAAAATGGAACGCTGCACCAAATTCTATTTCACTTCCTAAAACAAAAATTGGAGACTTGAAATTAAATTATTCTGGTTATGGTTTAGAAGTTAAAAACAGTTTTATCCTGAAATACCTGACACTTGAGCAAAGGTGCAGGACAAGAAACAGAAATCAAACAAATTTTCCATTTATTTCTCAGAAGCCAGAGGACGTTCTGGCAAGCTGCCACTGCCTTTCTATTAGAGACATACACGGATGTGGTTTTTTTCTGCTACACATCCCTCTTAGCCTAGGTCTGATTTCACTGTTAACATTGCTTGATTCGTTCTCTCTGAAGTGATTCACTTACAGTTTTCTGGTTTGGCTCCCAGCTCTTCTACCGTCTGCATACTATGAATCTCCATATTTTCAGGGTATTCCGATTTATTTACAGTCTTCTTGTCCACATAAATGATATGTTTAAGACAGGAGACCTGTGGTAGTGCAGTCTATAAAAGAGAAATCAATTTTTTATCCCTGACTGCACTGTGAAATTATTATAGGGTTGCTTGTAAGCAGGTGAACCTGGTACCAAATTACCTTCAGTTTGCTCTCAAGAAGTTCTACACTAGTGACCAGATACGATGCTCCACACTCATTGAGACCATAGGTTACTGCCTCTTCACCCAAGGTGGCATACAACGTAACAACTGTTACAGTAAGGAGAGGGAGAACACGAGAGAAATGTTAAAGTAATACTAAATGCAAAAGCTCTTGCTTTAGCTCACTGGAAAGCATTGCGGGAGGAGCCGGGGGCGGGGGGTGCAGAATAAAATTAGCTCAATGGGGAATTTTCTAATTTGGAAACAAAACAGCTTTTAAATTTTTCCACATCTGAATTTTATGCCACAAGAAGCCTCTGGAACGAGGAGGACAATTGTAGATGAAGCATTTCTTTACTGAGAGGGTGGCCAAACACTGGCACAGGCTCCCCAGGTGCCCCAAGCCTGCCAGTGTTTAAGAGGCATTTGGACAACGCCCTTAATAATGTGCTTTAACTTTTGGCCAGCCCTGGATTGGTCAGGCTGTTGGAGTCAGTTGTAGGTCCCTGAAATAGTCTATTCTGTCCTGTAGGGGGAAATCATCAAAACAAAGAGATCCACCAAAACCCAACGCTAAGGCACTAGGCAGTGGCAGCCGAGGCCGCGTCCTGCCCCTGAGCTCCCTGCAGCCGGAACGCGGGGAGAGGCGACGCGCTGAACGTCGCAGGGCACCGGTCACGGCCGAAAGCGACGCGCTGCTGCAAGCAGCTCCTCCAGCAGTGGCAGCTATTTCACTTGCTCCCTGACATTATTGACGGGGGCGAGGCAGAGAATCAGACTGTTTTTATGTTGCTAGATTATTTTTTAACCCTGACTGGCTACAGTGATGCTGTTAAGTGCCTCACAGACACCAAGGAGTTCACCTCTTCCCGTCATCTCCCTATGGAAAAAATTACCTTCCTGTAGTATCGTCTGCTATCTCAAACTCTAACCTCCAAAGACCATTAAAGGAATTTAATATTCCTGTGCAATTGGGTTCATGTGGAAGGGACAAAAAGAGAGTAATGGTATATAGCTGATTCTTCCTGCTTCTCAAAGCAAGAGGATTAAGACCCAATTAACATCCTCTCCTACTTCAGTAGCAATGTCAGCTCTTCCCTTATTGCCCCTTAGCAGTCCCTCTGTATACTCTGCTGCATGACCTTCTCCTCGCACAGCCAGCTACTACTAACACTGGAAGAGGCAGCCTAGTGCAAGCAAAACGTAAGACAGCAACAAAAATAAGCTACGGGTCATAGCGTGTTGTATGCAGACTGGGCATGTGAGGGCATAATAACCTTCGCCACTTCACGGAGAAGTTTGTATGCATTAAGTCAGATTAGAGATTTTTTGACATCTTAAATAAGAAAAAAACACCCATGCACATAATTGTAATGAACTTGAGCAGCTTAAAAGCGCGACCAGAACCCCCTCAGACTAGCATATGATTTTGATTATCATTCTTCTCTCTTATAACCATTTCATGTTTCAGATGCATAAGTCAGGGTACAGACAGAAAATACTATAAAAACATTCCACATTGTGGGGCAAGAAATGCAACTACTGACATCTTCAGGATATTTTAAAAAGCCCTGAATAGTAACCATACTGTCCCGTCATTCTACCATCTAGAACATTACTACAATAAAATCAGAAAAAACAGTCTCGTAAATATGAGCAAGTTAATTTTAGGGATCTGTGCAATGCATAGAATGGACTGGAAACTTCTAAGAATCAGACCATAGGCAGAGTAAGCTTAAGAAATTCTTATACCATCAATGACAGGATTGGCAGAGTCAAAATACTTAACAGCCAAACCAGTGCTGAGAAATGGTTCTAAAACACATTAGAAGTAAACAAGTTTGGCACTCACGAGGAAAGTTGTACTTGAAGCAGGTTAGAGCTACAATCATCCATTCTGCTCGGGTCTCACAGAATATGACAACAGTACTCTTTGGGGTGAGTCCCAGGGCAGTCAGTCCACTCCCCAAGCGATTCATTTTCTCATTTACTTCTTCATAGGATAACCATCTGTAAGTTCCTAAAATTAACTGGTAAGGAAAAAAAAATTACGATGACAAGAAACTGCTGGTACAGCTCTACAAGCTTACGTGAATTGGTGCGTAACACCATAAGCACACACACTGCCATTCATTAAAAGAAAAAAAAAATTGCTTTCATTTTGCTTGAAGCAGAATAGCACGTCCTGTATTCTGTTATTCTTTAACTACTATAAAATGGATGGTTTATATCATAAGATGATGATGAAGGAAGATCTCTAAGGAGACCGCCATTATTGAGGCAAGATACAAAGCAACTCAAACCAAATCAGAATTAAGTACAAAACTGTAAGTTTTACCTTTTTGAACACTTTTCCATTTGGTTGCATTTCATTTTCTTCACTCAGTATTTCTCTAGTCCCAAGACAGTCCTTCTTGCCAAACTTTGCTAAAGCATGGTCAAACAGCTTGTCCAACGTGTCTGCTCCAGGAATGTTTATGTTTGCTAGTGAGTCAAGATGAGTGACAGAACGGTAGGGGCTTCCAGGTTTGTCCGAGATGGGTTTAGCTTTTAAACGTTTTGCCATAGCCTTTTTCTTCTTAGCATTGGTGAGAAAATACCATGGAATAAATACAAGCATACTGTACACAGATATTACCAAGTACACAGGTAGCAAGAGAATGGCACATACTTCTAGCCTAAGTTTCATTGCAGGTATTTAAAAAATAAAATCTCTTATTGTGTTCTGAAGCAGGCAAGAGCAAAGCAGCAGCGCAGTTGGGTGTAGGAAGAAGTAACAGTAAGCGAAGCTTAGGTAGTTCTGTTTCAGAGCAGCTGCTAAAATTTTAGTAACCTTTGAGAGCCAGCAGTGGACACCTGTGGGTGAAGACCAGAGCCAAGCAGAGAGCAGGAAAAAAAAAGAAAAAAGAATTAAATTAGTAATATTACAGACAGTGCATTAGTTTTAGTCCTTCTAAGAATTCACTTCAAATGCACCAAGGCAAAGGAGACTGAAGTAACTGATACAAGAGGCATGTACATTGCATGATACAGCAGCGTGCTGCTCCGAAAATAAGAGGATGAATCTTTTCCACACTTGTTTGTTGCATCCACAAATATTTACTTTTCAAGGACTTTTCCCCACTATCTCTGTTTGAATAGTTCAGGGCTGTTGAGATTAAATCTGTCCTTCATATCATAATATTGTGTTTAAGCTCCTTGAGTAATGCTACAGTTTCGTAATTATGGGAAAGGTCAACAGTTGTTTTCCCCCTAAATATTTGTACTACAGAGAAAAGTTACAGTAGATTTCTTTACTGCTTTTCAGAATTTCTATCAAATTATACGTAGATTAAACTGTATCTTGATATAGAGTCCTCAAAAGTCTACATGTTGTAATCTAAAAACTACGTAATATTCCAAAACTGCTTTATTAACTGTGCCTCAGCAACTGAAATTTTCATCTTTTCAAGTGACTATAGGAAAATGATTATACCGATTTGCTCTTCCCCCTCCAAAACCTACTTCAGTATATTCATTTCAGAACTGCGGGTATGGAAAACAGAATCCAATTTGACCAATTTGAAATAAAGCACAATTTGGCAAGTTCTTGTCTGCATGTCAAATCTTTCCTCATTAAGGAGAACTGGGCCTGAATAAAGACTAAAGGTGAGAGAAAAACAAAAGCATCATAGCAAACCACACTTGTGGCTGGCTCACTGGTCTGTAACCAGTCTACATTTTCACATAAAATATATAGGTTCTTATCTTCATCTGGATGGCATGCAAAACAATCATGAATGATGCACACTGCAGGAAAATTAAGAGGCAAAGGTGCACTAAAAAAAGAGCGGTACTCGGACCCATGGGGGAGTGAGAAACACTGACTAACTCACTGCAAAGGTCAGTCTTTCATGGAGAGAATCTGATAAACACTACAGATAAGAATAGGGAAATTTTCAGGGCTCTATCATGAACAAAAATAACATGGGCACACCTCAAAATCTACCTTTATTAACATATTTGCTACCCCTAAGGTGATAAGGGAGGCTACAACTGACATTTCAGGTTAAATAAGACAACTGCTACTAACAGCATCATAGAAATCTATTAATAGGTTGTTGGTTTTTTAATAAGAGTTCCAACATCTGCAGTTGCATTGCAGCCAGTATCACCAGCATTTCATGTAATGTAAGATTAGGAGATCTGCAGGTACTTAAAATAACATGATCATGATAATATTTTTTTAATTAAATGTATAGAATAAAATTACTGTCAAATGACTTGTTCAGAAGAGCATTCTGCCTATTTGTTTTTATAAAAAGCGGATGCTACATTCTTTTCAAAACATATATGCTTATTCAGCTCTAGTTAACATCATCATCAACTGCTCAGCAGTCAAACCTCAGCAGAAGAGATAACATTTAACTTCCCTAAACTCCAGTTTCTCTAAAATGAAGGTTTACTGGTTTATATTACAAATCTTGTATGATATTTTCATTCCAGTTAATTCAGTGCTCCAAAAGCGGCAGTTGAGCTTGTATTTAAACCAAAAGCCAGCCAAAGTGCTAAGCCGACAGTAAGAAAACTCCAGCGTGTGCCCACGATTAGACACAGTGATGCTACACACTAAAATAAACCCCAGAGAGAACTCTCACTGCTCTCCATCTTCCAGCAAAAAGCCTATGACCACACAGAGTGGCTCGGATAGAAAGCAGACTTGTTGGACTAATGCAAACAATTTATTATCATGAGACAGTACTATAGCTTTTATTCAGGCTGAGTAGTAGCTTTTTCAGTAGTCCCACTGGTAAAAAACTCCTCGCTCATCATCAAGAACTGACTAATTTAGAAAGAGGGGAGGTGAATGGGCTCCCATTTACTTAAATTCTTTAGCCAATGTTCTGGACTGACCAATACTATAAAAAGACATTTACTTTAACTTTTCTATTCAGTTGAATCTCCTGTACATTAATTATATAAATTATATTTAAGCTATTTAGCAGCTTGTATAACACTGAAAAAAACACGACATTTTCAGAGTATTTTCTGTGTACATGTTATTACAACAGATACAAAGAACTGAAGAACTTATTTTCACACATTGGTTTGCTTAATACTTTCTAATTAAATCTATATTGACATGCTATCTATAATCTATATTGACTAATGCTGTCTATTAATATATACTTATTGCAATATCATCTTTCCACTTTCTTATTGCATCTGGGCAACAGTGAATTGAACAACAAAACTCAACTCAGTGTTGAACACTAACTTAAGAACTTCTACAGTTTACTGGAACAACTTTCTAACATGCTAAAAAACTCCATCAGAATGTTCAAAATACTGCCTGAAATAATAAAGTAATGATAAAAAAGGTCTTAATGGGAAAGAATGTTTGTTTTGTCCTAAAACTGGCACTCTGTTGAAATCACTTTTAACATACGAATTTTAAATGCATGTACAAATACACTTCATATAGTTGCAGCCAGTTATGTTAATGTTCACATTAGCAAAAGTTAAAGGTTACATTTCTTTCATTTTGAAATTTCAGATTCATTTTAAATACTGTAAAAAGTGTTTATAAAAACAGATAACTTAGCTACTCCGTACACATTTGTGGTAATTTAAAATGTTTCTATCTTGACAAAAATACGTTGTAATTCTTAACAGACATCTGCTGGAAACTCACTAAGTCCCCAAAAGACAAACTTGGCTTTTTCCTTTCAGTTTATTCATATAAAAACTGACACACACATACACAGGTGTACTTACAAGGTATCTGACAGCGATGACTGAGGTTTTTCACTGACGATTAAATCTATATTAAAACAGAAAAAAATAAAGTATTAGAAGTTGTTTTTTTTTTTTTTTTGCCTTGAAGAAAGAAGGAACCTTTAGTATTTCTACCCTAATGCTCCTGAAGAAGAATAGGCTATGGATTTAGACAAAGGTGGCACATGCTACCCATACAAGAGGAAAGCAACGGTATTAATGGAAAAGATTGAGCTTGCAAACTGCAACGTACAGATAAAGACAAAGCTACCCAAAAGCAGTTTAATTTTTATGGGATATCCCCTCCTGTTTAAACACGTTCTCAATAAACATATGTACAGAAGCTTGATTTAATTAAAAAAAAAAAAAAAAAAAGAAAAGAAAAAAGAAAAAGGAGGCAAGAAAGAGACTTTCAGATTCCATATGGTCATTCTTCTGTCTCAGGGCAGAAGCAAGACAACCTTTATCGTTCTCGATGGATGAGTATCAACACGTGTAGTTGAAACATTAACTCAGAACTATCAGTAGCATACACTGCCCACAAGAGTCGTAAGGAACATTAAGTAGAGTTTGAGTACTGAGGTAAGAGGAGAGCTTTGAGAACAAAAGCATGGTTAGGGAGGCAGCGAGGCTTCACAGGTCCCATGACCAGTGGAAAAAAAATGATGCCTATATGTAACTATACAGACGTGGCTTCAAAAAATCTACTGCATAATCTTTCTCTTGGATGACTTGGTTTTATATACAGAAAGCTTTTAACTGATGTTTAACCTCGTTATATTTTATTAGGCTTCCCCATAAGTCTAAGATTTCAATTAAGGTACCAGTTTTTACAGACTGAAACTGTGTTAAACATCCCTTATGGAATTCTCCTACAAACATTTTCTCTTGAAATGCGAAATAAATCAGAGGCACAATAATGTTTTTAATGTTACTGGCACTTGCATGTGGCTGTATAAGACTTTGATCCATAACAGGACCATCCCAAACTTGTGCCAAATCCATATTTATCGTAATTTAAATATAATGCATAACAGACTGACATACTGAACTTGCAAAAGTACCTCTTTCTCAATTCCATTTGGTTAGAAGTCAAACTTAGCTATTCAAATTACTCCTTAAATTACACCTTATGCCTTCAATCACTAAATAAGAGGTTTATTTAGTTTTATCAGACTTTTAAGAGAAAGGATGAGATGCAATGTTCACATTGATGTACCACCAAGGATTCCTTCAAGGCAAGCCAACTACGTATTACTGAAGTGTAACTGTTCCATTCTGAGTCAACTGCCTCTTTCCTCACAAATAAAAGAAGATGTAGCACTTACATGAAAAATTTCACTGTATCAAAATAAAACTTATAGGTAATACTAGAATATTTAAAATATGTAATATTTTATATTGACTTACAGAGTTTATGATTTCTCTTAATTGTGCAATGAAACTAGCCTATTTCGACACTTATCAATCTATTTGGGAAACAGCAAAGCTTCCAGTTCTTGCTGTAGAAAATGCACGTTCCCAGCAACAGCCATCAGTGTGTGTCAGAGAGAAAAAACAAACCAAAGCAAGACAGATCTAGTCGCTCTCCTAGACAGCTGTGTTTTCAGCATCTCCAAAGAATTTTCCTCAGGTGAATAAGCTTCTAGCAATTTTGAAATGGTAACTCTCTCGAGTTAACATACCATTGCAAATGATATGTTAGTTACAGTGTTCTTGTTAGAAACCTCATTGATGAGGTAATATTTTCCTTATTACTATTATATGCTGGGTGTCTACAAAAATTCTGTAGTCCGAGCTTACCACAGAAAACAAATAACTGATGCAAATGCTCATACAAGCACTGACACTGTTTTACAGACCACCACTGATGGAAGAGTTGTTCTCTGAGTATAATCTGACTTTGATATCTTCCATTAAAAGCTTCAGAGACGGGTAATATGCAACACTACTCTTGTCCTGCAGCCAGGGCGACAGAAAAGAGTCTGAAATCAGAGCACAGGTTCTAGAACAGAAGAGACACCCCCCTCCGTAATTTTTCATTATTTTAATTGAAAATCTAGGAAACAACTGGCAACTATTATTTTTTAATTTAATATAGAAAACCAGCTTTTAAATAGTTACAAAAGCTTCTGGGACTAAGAGGAAAAGCGTGTGTGGGGAACAGGGAGAGGGTTTATGCCTCTGGAAGTGACTGTTCACAGAGGAGGAAATGCCATAATCTCTGCATTTAACTATTCAAACAGAACAGAATCAACTTATGCTGCATTTGCACACACTCCTAGTATAACTCAAGTATAACCTGAGTTACTAGTGTAACTCAAAACCTAAAGAAGTACCTGTAGCTAGAAATTTTATCCTATGCAGTTTAATTTTAATAAGGCAGCAAATCATTATCTTTGCTAGGAAAGGCTTTAATTAGCCCAAGCCCAAAACACTGTAAAGGTTTAATATTGAAAGTACATTAATACCAGTGTTTATTGCCCTTCCTCTTGTGTTAAAAAGCTCACCGGGGATCCAATTTACTATGTAATAGCATGATTAGAAGAAAACATACTACTTTATCTACTTCAAACATTAATTGCAACTTTTAAAACATTTTTTCCGTTGTGTTAGGAAAGTCTTCTAGTAAGAAAGATGACATTAGACAGGAAAAGGGTAGTATTCTAGCTTGTGAAAACCTGGAATCTGCAAAGCAAGTTGTTTAGTTTAAAAACAACACCAGAGGAAGTCTTGGTTCCCCTGCAACCAAGCTCTTGCCAACTTCAATTGGAGACACAGTTCTGGCTTTAGTGTAAGTATTCAGGGTTGACTTCTTTCAGGAAGTTCTGAAATCTTCCAAAACAATGCAGTATGAATAAGTAACAACAATTTCCGGGATTTCTCTACCATTCAGGCAGATTTAAACATTTTGGAAACCACAGTAAGCATTCATAATTTGTAAGTGGAAAAGTGGAAAAAACGTGAATTGACCTGAATTAAGTACATTGGTTATTAGTTACAGTCAGTTTTTGGAAGGGAATTTAATCAATATCTTGTAGTCCTGAATTTGTTCCAGTAAGAGAACTGAAAGAGCCTGGGGTTTCAAAAAGAAATTACAGAAAGACTGAGACATATCACATAGCCAGGAAGATGTAGAAAGCTTAAACACAATAAACAAATTTATTTCTGCATACTACCAGGCTCTCTACAAATTTTGATTTTCCAGATTTATACCTGTAACACACAAGAATGAGAGAACAGTGACAGATGAGAAGACTGTGATTAAATAGCAATTAGTTAGGAGAATCTTGTGGCTAATTACACCTCTTTTGGGGTTTAGAAAGATTGAAAAGACAAAAACTAAGGGAAATTTTAAAAGTTTTTACATCACGTCAGTGTTTTTATGAAAACAAACTCTGCCAATATGAATTCAAGTTACTCATGGTAGGAAAAAAAAAAAAAAGTACATGAGGTCTGATATTTGTTCTTTTCTCACAGGCAGATTTCTACATATTTTCCTCTTACACAATTTTGTACGTCAGAAAACTCCAGAAGTAATCTAATCAAACACCAGCAGGTTTCAAAAGTACTTCTGCGTTCTATCAGCGCAATAGCAGCTCAGAGCCTGAGAGTTTGAGAGTTCTTACTATGTCTGTACAGCATAAATACAAGTACCTATGTCCCAACAAACAGGGGGAGGGGAAAGTCAGGTATGGCGGGTCCTGGTGTAAGTCAAGGGTCCCTGTTTAAATATATACATTCTATCTGAAATAGCAAAACCACAAGTAGTATTAGGAAATCTTGCTTCTCTTACTGCTGCTTAAAAATAAAAAGCAGATAATACTATGTTTTATGTAGCTACTAAACAAAGATCAGATTTCAATGGTTACAAGAAAAATATTATTGTTGTCCTTTATACTTCTGGTTTACTACCTGTATTGACATATATGCATTTATTGTCAATCACAAAAAATAAAAAAATAAAAAATTCAATTCATGTCAAGTGTCATGCATCTATTGCTCCAAGAACTACTGTAATGGAAACCAGACGAGCCACGCTTACCCTGTATTTCTCAGTTATCTAACAGACTGGTGTGAAACTCTCTCCTAATCTTGTAACGTAAAGGCAAGCAAATATTTGGTGAAAGGGTAATAGCTGTTTGCGTGCCCCAAATGCAGAAAATGTGAAAGGCCAAGGCAAGATTCCACATCTGAAACTGTCCACTGAGAACACACTGAATTGGGAAAGTATTTCCTGTAGACTGACTTCTGTTACTTTTGCCTTGTTAAATTCTATTGAGAATCCACACGGTAAACACCTGAGGCTCGCTCACGCCAGCGCTTCCTCTCTCACAGCCCCTGCTCGATCTGTGCTGGTTGTGCCTGGGGTACACGAGGTTTCCAGTCAATCCCACTTACACTACAGCACTGTGAATGCTAGCAGTTGCTGTAACTAATAGCAAACTCAGCTGTTTCAACACTTTTTCTGGTAAAGGAAACGAGAGGCATCCTTTTGTTTCATTTATGTTAATTTTATTTAATGAACATGGTAAGGACTGACTGGTGGCTTGGACAGGAGGTATTTCAGAAGAGGATGGAAAAGGAGAAAATCTGCAGCTGAAAAATATGGATATAACTTCAAAACTCCTCCAACATCTACAAAATATACTGGGACCAAAGGGCACAAAAATTAAAAAGGAAAATGCATATTCTGTACTAGTAAAGAAGTATTTACTTCAGCCTGAGCCCCTCAACATATACCCCAATCTCATCAGGCATTATGGTAAATGTTACTCCAACATTTCAACAGCAGAGCTACGCAATTGTACTGTTTCACCCAACTTTTTTTAAAACAAGTACATGAAAAAGCAAGCAGCATGACCAAGGACAAATTTTAGAAGATACGTGACTGTGGAAGTTCTCCAGCAAAAGCTATGTAAACAGTCAAGTAAGAATTGGTAATCCCTTTCTTCCCGTACGCGATACAAAATGGATAGACCGACTGGTTCTGCGTTGAGCTACACAACCGTTCTGCAGTGGAAAGGCTGTGACTTACACGGTTCT